CTGGTGACTCTGGTGCTGCTGAGGGTGCTGAGGCTGGGGGTGCTGTACCTGGGGGTGCGGAGCCTAGGGGTGCTGGGCCTGGGGGTGCTACGTCTGGGGGTGCTGAGCCTAGGGGTGCTGAGCCTGGGGGTGCTGAGCCTAGGGGTGCTGAGCCTGGGGGTGCTGAGCCTGGGGGTGCTGAGCCTAGGGGTGCTGAGCCTGGGGGTGCTGAGCCTAGGGGTGCTACGTCTGGGGGTGCTGAGCCTAGGGGTGCTACGCCTGGGGGTGCTGAGCCTGGAGGTGCTCCGCTTGGAGGTTCTCCGAGTGCTTCGTCTCGCCGGGAGCCACTTTCTCCACAGGAGCTGCGTGAGTGGTTTGCCCGGCGCTGGAGGCGTGCTGCTGGTGCTGGAGGTCCTTCGACTGCTGAGGGTGCTGCGGTCGCGGGTCCCAGAGGTGCTCGTCCTGGGTGCACTGGAGCTGGTGCTGCTGAGGGTGCTGGCGCTGAGACTACCGCTGGCAGTCCTACTGGGGGTGCTCCTGGTGCTGCTGGAGGTTCTGGAGCTACTGGTGGTGCTGCTGGAGCGGGTGCTCCTGCTGAGGGTTCTGGTGCTGTCCCTGCTGCTTCTAGCGTCGCCGCGCGGCCTCGACCGTACTTCGTGCCACTCCTGCAGCAGGTTCTTGGTCTTCCACCTTCTACTGGTCCTCCTCCTCCCTTAGAGTGTCCACAGCCTGTCTCGTCCCAGCTACAGTTGCAGCCTACCTCCCCTTTGCCTGCTCCTTCTCCCTACACTGGTCCTACTGGAGGTCTGGCTGAGCGTCGTGAGCCTGCGTCTCGCCCTGCGTCGCCTGTCCGTGCTGCTCGCACTAGTGGTCGCGGTTCGCGTCAGCGTCCTCCTCCTGTCCCTGGCACGCACCGGATGTCTCTGCGTCCGTCCACTGCTCCTCTGCGTGCCCCTTTGCCTTCTCCTCCTGAGTCCTCTCTTCCTGCTCTTGCCGACCCGGAGTCGGACTCTCTTCGTGCTGCCAGTCCTACTGTCACGCGTCTCCTTGCTACTGTTGTCACTGACCCTTCTTTCGAGTCTACTGCTGCGTCTGCTCTCGTTACTGAGCTCGTCGACTTTGCTGCTCGCTGTCGCTTAGACTACGCTGCTAGTCTTGTCGCTGAGTCTGAGTCTGTCTGTCCTCCGTCCGTCGGGGGTGAGTGTGCCCTTGGCACGGACGTCCTTGAGGACAGGCAGGAGGAGTTCCAGTGTCTGGCAGCTGCCTCACCTCATCTCGTGTCCGTACTGCTTACCCCTGAGGGAGACCCGGATGCACTTGACATCCCGACTCCGCGCTCTTACGCGGAGGCGATAGAGGGTCCCTACTCCTCTCAGTGGCAGGCGGCTATGGATGCAGAGATGGCTTCCTGGAAGTCCACAGGCACCTACGTTGACGCTGTCCCCCCTCCTGGGGCGAACATCGTCAGTGGCATGTGGATCTTCAGGGTGAAGCGGCCGCCGGGTTCTCCGCCTGTCTTCAAGGCGCGTTACGTGGCTCGTGGCTTCAGTCAGCGGCAGGGAGTTGACTACTTTCAGACCTTCTCCCCCACCCCGAAGATGACCACTCTTCGGGTACTGCTGCACGTTGCTGGTCACCGTGACTACGAGCTGCACTCTCTTGACTTCAGCACAGCTTTCTTGCAGGGCAGCCTGCACGAGGAGATCTGGCTGCGTCGCCCACCTGGCTTCACTGGGTCTTTCCCTTCTGGTACCCAGTGGAGTCTCCGGCGTCCAGTCTACGGTCTCCGCCAGGCGCCACGTGAGTGGCACGACACACTGAGGACTACACTTGCGGCTCTTGGGTTTGCTCCTTCTACTGCCGACCCGTCGCTGTTTCTACGCACCGACACCTCTCTGCCGCCGTTCTACATCCTCGTGTACGTCGACGACTTGGTCTTTGCCACAGCTGACACTGCTGGACTCGCCTACGTGAAGTCCGAGCTGCAGAAGAGACACACGTGCACAGACCTAGGTGAACTGCGCAGCTACCTTGGCTTGCAGATCACCCGGGACAGAGCACGCCGCACCATTACCCTGACTCAGTCACACATGGTGCAGCAGGTCCTTCAGCGCTTCGGCTTCACGTACTCCTCGCCTCAGGCCACTCCTCTGTCTACTCGCCACTCGCTCTCAGCTCTGCCTTCGGATGAGTCCGTAGAGTCGAGTGGCCCGTACCCAGAGCTTGTTGGCTGCCTCATGTACCTGATGACCTGCACACGACCTGACCTTGCATACCCTCTTAGCATTCTGGCACGCTATGTTGCTCCTGGGAGACACAGACCAGAGCACATGGCTGCAGCGAAGAGGGTGTTGCGCTACTTGTGCAGTACGTCGGGCATGGGGCTAGTGCTTGGAGGGCGGAGTCCAGTGGTCCTCACTGGGCACGCGGACGCTTCTTGGGCTGACGACCAGGCTACGCAGCGGTCGTCACAGGGTTACACCTTCAGCCTTGGTTCCGGCTCTGTTTCGTGGCGGGCTACTCGCTCGTCTTCTGTTCTTGGCTCGAGTTGTGAGGCTGAGATCTACGCCGGGGCCATGGCTGCACAGGAGCTTCGCTGGCTCACCTACCTGCTGACCGACCTTGGAGAGCCGCCTCGTTCTCCTCCAATCCTGTACGTAGACAACAAGGCCATGCTGGCCTTGTGTCGAGAGCAGCGACTGGAGCACAGAACAAAGCACATTGCTCTCCGCTACTTCCTTGCTCGTGAGCTACAGCAACGTGGTCAGTTGCGGCTTGCGTACGTGGCCTCTGAGGCCAACACTGCTGATGTCTTCACCAAGGCACTTCCGCCTTGTGATCATCAGCGCTTCTGCACTCAGCTGGGTCTTGTGCCCGTCTTGCCTCACTTGCTCTCCTCTTGACCTTGCCTGTACTCTCACATATATATATACCTGCTCTTGCTTGTCTAGCTTTATATATATGTGTGTACTCTTGCATGTGAACTGGCCGTGTGGCCTTGACCCTGTGCTCGGACTGTGTGGTGACTTTGTGATCCACCCTGAGCTTGCTTTGCTTTACTTTGCTTGACTGGTCTTGTGACCCCTTGTTCTCCCCCACTTTGCCTATGGGGGTGTGTCAGAACATTATAGCTTATGCTGTTGTGTAGGCTATAGTGGGGTATCCCATAGGGGGTACAACCAATTAGGGTTTCATATTTGTACTCACTTCATTTCATAGTTCATTCATTCTTGTTCAAATCTTCTCAGGTGTGCCGGATGAGATGACAATCGGCTCATCCGATTGTGCAGGTGCATTTGCGGGTGCTGGCGCTGTTGCATTTGATGTTGATTCCTGGCGTGTGGAGTCGCGTTCCGCCATGAGTGTCGCGATTTCGAGCGATGACTCCTCGAGCTGGCGCATTAATTCGTCGAGGCGGTCTTGCGTCAACGTCGCGAGTTGAGTGCGGCGAGATTCTTCCATGGTGGGGGTGTCATGCTAGCTTCAGCGAGAGCCTCAGTCGTGGCTGAGTGTGCTTACGAGAGAGCACACGGGCAGCGGTGCTTGATCGCTGAGAGACGTCTACCCCCTCCAAAAATTGAGATAGTGGGGAAACGAAGGTGTGGGCGCGGTCCGAGAAGAGATCGTAGGCTCTGAATACCAAGTGTTACGAGTGCAATTGAGTGAGCAGGCAAGAATTGCACTATCGAAGTAAATGTCCAATGAGCGAAGGAATGAGCGAACAATACATAGCGAAAGCCTAGCGTGGTAACGGTCATGCGCGAGAATGTGGTGTGCTACGGGCCAAGCGCCGAGGTTGGGAAATGTCGAGGCGGAGGACTGGAGCGCGAGTTACCAACCGAACCGTGAGGTTGGGTCGCGAGGTGTACAGTGGCGGGAACAGTGGTCGAGGCGAGTGTCGCGAGCGGGTAACGTTTCACTGTTGGGTGCTGTTGGCGGGAATAGTCGTGTACGCGTTACGCAGGGGCGCGAAGTAAGGAAAATGATTTTTCCTTACTGTCGGCCATGGTTTTTTTCGCTGACCTGTGATTTTCTGCCATACTTTTTTCTAGAGTCTATTATTCTTCCAGCATTCCTTTCCAAGGTGTAGTTTTCGTTCAGCCTTGGTACCGAAATTGCATCGCCTAGTGTGGAGATGGTTGCAGATCAGAGATCATGCCCACAATTCCATTATCATCGTTACAGAAATCTCCGGCTTGGCCTTAGGGCGTGTGTACATTTTGCACACGACGGTTCGTTATTCGTACCGTCCGTTCGAAATAGTGGTAACTGGGTTCGCGAATCTTCGGTAGGGTTTCGTTGATAACCCTGCGACATCGCAATCGCAACATAACCGTGTGGAACTTTTTGGTCAAAAGAGAGGGAACCGTGCAATTGATCGGTTACGCTTCGTCATAAACGGACTGCTCAAATTTGGCGACTTGTGGTTGGCGCGCGAAAATACACACAGACATTGCGTCAGCATGCGACACTGCCACTTCATTGGCGAATTCATCGCCACCCTGCGTAACATCGCATTTTGTCGCAAAGATTCAAAACCACAAAAAAGTTCTACTCTACGGTTCGTTTTCAAAAGTGCTGTTTCGGGAAACGGACGGTTTCAATCGGGAAATGGAACGTAACTTGAAGGAAGTGCAAAATTGTCACACGCCCTTACCATGTATTCCATCCTAGCTGTTCGCGCCTGGAGATGACTTCGCGATGCCATATGGCGTTTCTGCCTTAGACTTCCCGTGTTTTTTTTTACCAGAAGACCATGTTCCCTGGATGGAAGCTAAGTTGCTCGCGTCTGACTGACGTCCATCATGCCGGAGCGTGGCGTGGCAGGAACCACGCGGATCGTCACATCTAGACTCCATGCCTTCGTTATAATACTCTTCGTTACCGTGACATGCGCACGATGCGAAGATCCTCGTGTAACCATCTCTCTTTTGCAGCCACAGTCGCCTGGAACTTCCGCTCCCAAAAATCTCGACGAAAAGGCTCCATCTGCGCAGAAACCTCTTGGATTATTTCAGAACATGGAAGCTGCATTGGGGAGAAGACGATCGGCGGCGGAAGTCGCGTTTGGGAATATAGTCGTTGGCAGTAGTCGTGCCCGGCGTGGAGCAATCACAGGAGTATCCAGCATAGGAACGACAGGGTCCAGCACAGCGACAGCGGGATCCACGTCGGGAGCATCGGGGTCCACGTCAGGAACAGAAAAATCTGGAAAAGGAAGGGAGCACGGACGGAACACGGAAGGTGGTAGCCGGAGCACGAATGCGGACAGGAAAGACAGCCCAGCGATTGGCGGCAGTGACGTCGGCAGTGACGTCGGCAGTGAAAGCGGTAGAGATAGCGCTTCTGCTGCCTCTGCTGATTTCACTCATGCGTCGTCTGCTATTTCCCCCTCTCTTTCCCCTCTTTCCTCCTCTCCCTCCTCTCCTTCTCTCGCGTCTCTTCTCTCCCAGCACCACCAACACTTGCAGCAGTGGCAGCAGCACTTAGACCGCGCCGTTTTCACGCCGCTCATTGACCCCACCCACCCGCTTGCCGTGCTAAGTAAAACACTTAAGAATTCCCCAAAGGTTCCTGTGCTGGTAGCGGTGGATGGGCGCGTGCCAGACGCGGTGGCGGGATGGGCGTGGGAGCAGGCGGGGGGGAGAATGGTGCGCGTGACGTGGCGGAAAGCAGGGGGAAGGGAGGCGGGGAAGGGAGGGGAGACGGAAGGAGGGGGAGTGGATCAGAGAGAGGTGGAAGGGGGGAGGGAGAGGGAAGGGGAGAAGGCAGGGGATGGGGACACGGGGGATGTTAGTCGGAGAGAAAAGGAGAGCGTTGGAGCGGGGGAAGAGAGAAGAGTGGAAGGCGGAGGCATGAGGAGGCGGTTAGGAGTCTTGGAGAAGCGGAAGTGGAACATCAGTCTAGTGAAGGCCGTGGGGACGAGCAAGGGAAGACCAGTACATCAGCAGGAGCAGGAGAAGGAACAGCAGCAGCGGCAGGAGCAGGAGGGGGAGCAGCAGCAGCAGGAGCAGCGGCAGCAGGAGCAGCAGCGGGAGGAGGAGCAACGGCAGCAGCTGCAACGGCTGGTTGAGGGGCGCCAATGGAGGGAGGGGGTGAAGGCGAGGGCTGTGTCATGCGTGGCAATGCTGCAGCAGCACGAGGGGCTGCAGGGAAGACTGGCTCAAGGTGGGCATGGTGGGGCTGACGTGCCTGCTTGACATGCATGCCGCATAAGGTTTGCACAATGCAGCAGGAGGGTATATGTATGGGAAATGGAAAGGAGGATTTTACCACCAGCTTGGGGTGTGCGCCTTGTGCTGTTGAGAATGGGGTGGTACTTGGTGCATGCGTGTGGGGAATGCAACATGGTGCGTGGAGTATGGAGCATAGGGCATGGTGCATAGACGCGTGAGGCATGAGAATAGACACGCTGCCGATGTGAAGCATCCTTGTCGATGGCTCTGCTCGTCTCTGCTCCGTTCTTATGAATCTATGTGCCTAATTCACTCGTTTGAATTATTCTTCTCCTCTCTAGCTGTCTCTTCCTGATACTCTCACCTCCCGTTTTCTGCTCGATTTCATTGTTCTTGAATTCCCCCTTAATTCCCCCTTGCACCATGCAGCTCATCAGCTGTACCAACAGTCGCACCTCCACCACTCCTCCACTTCCTCCGCCGTTGCCTCTGCCTCCCCATCCTCCTCCACTCTCTCACACACCTTGAAGCCTCTCATTGCCGCTATAAGAGCCGACCTGCAGCGGTTGCAGCAGCAGCTGCAGGCGCAGTGCAGAGTTGATGCGAGGGACTTACGGCTGAGAATGGAGGAGCGGAGCAAGCTGGCGAGAGAGGCTGGATCTGGGAGTGAGGGGCTGGGAGAGGGAGGAGTGGGAAGAGGGGTAGGAGACGCAGGAGGAGGAGGAGGAGGAGAAGCAGACGGACGAGGCGAATGGGAGGAAGGGAGGCAAGAGGAGGGAAATAAGGAGGGAAGGAAGGGGGAGGGCAACGAGCAGGCAGGAAGTAGAAGCACTTGGTGGTGCAGCGGGCAGGAGACGGGCAGGGTAGCTCGCACCTGCATGGGGCTGAGAGCTCCTTCCCCTCTCGCGCGGCTCTCCCCCCACCTCTTCCCCTCCCCGCCCCCCGCCGTCTCCTTCCTCCTGCAGTATTTCCGCCAGCCTGGCATGATTGCTGACCTCCTCGCCCGCCCCCATAACTGCACCTGGGTTCCGAGGGCTGGGGGTAATAAGAAGGGGACGAGAAAGGGGAAGGCGGGTGGAATGGGGAGTGTTAGGAATGGGGAGTTATGGCGAGGAGGGAGTGTGAGGGTGGTAGAGATGTTAGTGCATGCGGATAGTCCTGAGGAGTGGAGGGAGTGGAGGGAGTACTGGTGTGGGAGGAAGCCGCTGACCAACCCTGCTGCCCCTGCCGGTGCTGCTGGCGCCCTTGCCACTGCCAATGTAAGAAGAAACAGCAACAACAGCACAAGAGGCAGCAACAGCAGCAGCAGCAGGGGCGGCAGCAGCAGGGAGTGTCCCGGCACCCCTTACTTCCGCCTGCAGGTCACCTTCGACCACAACGCCCACGAGATCCGCGGCTTCAACACCCACGCCAAAACAGCGCGCGGTAACGTGGTAACCCTGTTACAGGACGACGACCTGCTGCCGTGGGACTGCAGCTGGCTGTGGCGCATCACCCATGAGATGGACGCCCGGCCGCTAGTTGCTGCTGTGGGCTACAGGACAGGGAAGATTGACGTGGATGGGAGCAACTGGGGGGCGCCCCTAACCTGGTACAGGTTCGGGGGATGGTTATGGACTCACCCGTCCTACGACCCCCGGGCCAACCTACGGGGTTTTTTCGCGGGTGTGGTGGACTTTGCGCCGTTTGTGATGCGGAGGGATGTGTTTTTGGCCTTAGGGGGGCTGGACGAGGGGCTGTCGGCGCGGGGGGAGTGTGGGATTATCACAGATTGGCATTTTACTTATCGGATCTGGTTTGCTGGTTACCAGGTCATGAATGTAGCATGGGACCCTCCGGAGAGTGGGATTGGGAGGGGTGTGGAAGGCGGCACGCATGCGGGTGTGAGATTGAGCCTGCGGCACCTGCACTTTCTGATCAATGACGGGCAGATGAGACGGCATCAGATAGAAGCACTGAATGCATGGCAGCAGAGGGAGGTGAAGAGGGTGAATGTGATGTTCCGGACGTTGGATGTGTGGGAGTGAGTGTGGTGGAAGGGGGATGGAGGGAGTAGGGAGACGGTGTTGTCATGCGATGTGGGGAAAGGTGTTTCTCAATACTCAACTGCTCTGCGACTGAACAGTGCTACATATTCAGTATAGTATGGACACGGTATAAACCTTGCAGCTACCGTACTACCAAATGAGTCAATCAGTCTCTTTGACTGGGTTACCCTACAAGGCCTTCAAAGTGAACAATCAAGATCATCACATGAACCATGCCTTCTATTCCACACACAAAAGGATCTTTAAGTCAGCCCAGCCCACCCAACCAAAGCCAACAATAAATAAGCCAGGTCAAAGCTACAGCAACAAGAGCCTCCTTCATCACATAAACCATCTCCCCGCAGCGTATTTTGATTGGTTGTTGGTGGCCGTCTTATCCAGAAAGGGTCCGACGAACCAATGGCGTGCGTCGACAAACCACCAGACGAGGAAGAAGGAAACTACCACGAAGATTCCGACACACGCGTAGTTGAAGTTGCTTGCGGTGATTGGGAAGACCATTGGCAGCATAAAGATGCTGACTGTATAGAGGACAAAGAGAATGGCTCCAATGTTGATTAGTTTCCTGCACTCCAAGAAGGCAGAGGGTGAGTGAGAGATAGAGAGAGGAGGGGAGGGGTGGAGGTGAATGAGTAGTGCCTTCTGCAAGGGTTAGGAAAGAGGAGAGAGACCAGGGTTTAGGGAGGAGCGGTGAATGAGCAGCGCCGTCTGCAAGGGTTAGGGAAGAAGACAGAGACCAACTCTTATGCCCCATACACACACTCGTACCAGGCTCACACACACCGAGGCAGAGCATTGGACCAAGGCAAGTCAAGACTTGAGAGGTCTCAAGAAACCCACATTACGTTTACATACGACTTTCGAGACATGTCAAAAGATGTTTGCACCAGGAGCAAAGCAACTGAGAGAGTGAGCACTGCTGCACCAAACCAAGCCATGCCATGCCATGCCATGCTGTGCTTTCTGCCTTGCACCAGCATACTTCAAAAGAGTCTCACCTCCACACCACACCACACCACACCACACCACACCACACCACACCACACCACACCACACCACACCACACCACACCACACACAGTCTAGACTCTACTGCGCAGCAAGGCTCTCTCACCTGCCCCAGACGCCGACGTATTTGGAGAGGTAGAACGGCCCTGGTTCAAAGTCCTCTTCCCTTTGGATGAGGCGGAAGAAGATGGGCACAGCGTAGCCGCCCACCCATGCGACGGTGGCGAGGGAGGTGATGGCGGAGAAGAGGAAGGAGTCCTTGAGGAGAGGCAGGGAGAAGAGGATGGCCACGCCACAGCACAGCCACACGGAGTAGATGGGCGTCTTGTCTCGGTTGACTCGCCGCCAGATGAACGCAAAGGGCAGGCCCTTGTCTCGCGATATGGCGTACGCCTGGGGAGGTGAATAGGGAGAGTGCGGGCGTGACATGAGTGGAAGGGGATTGTCAAGGGATTGGAGAGGAGGAAGAGGAAGGCGTTCTTGAGGAGAGGCAACGAGAAGAGGCTGGCTACAGCCCACACCACAGCAGAGCCACACGGAGTAGATGGGCGTCTTGTCTCGGTTCACCCGCCGCCAGATGAACGCGAAGGGGAGCCCCTTGTCTCGCGATATGGCGTAGGCCTGGTGGTGGGCGTGGTGGGGGGGGGGGTGGAATGGGAGTGAGGCAAGAAGGTGAAGGGCAGCCCCTTGTCGCGCCATATGGTGTACTCCTGGTGGTGGGGATGTGGGGGGGGGAATGGGAGTGAGGCAAGAAGGTGAAAGGGAGGCCCTTGTCGCACGATATGCCATAAGCAATCAATATGGATACGAAACTGATTGCTCAGGACGCAGCAATCAACATGCATGAGAGGAGGGGATGAGATGAGGGGATGGAGATGAGAGCAAACACAGCAAGGGATTCAGTGGGGTGTGGAAGGATTGAGAGAGACGAGGAGGGATGGGGAGGGAGGGATCAACAAGCACAGGGTGGGGTGGGGTGGGGAGTTGACTAACCGCTCATGATGAGATGGGATGGGATGGGATGGGATGGGATGGGATGGGATGGGATGGGATGGGATGGGATGGGATGGGATGGGATGGGATGGGATGGGATGGGATGGGATGGGATGGGATGGGATGGGATGGGATGGGATGGGATGGGATGGGATGGGATGGGATGTGATTGGATGGGATGGGATGGGATGGGATGGGATGGGAAGGAATAGTGACTAACCGCTCGTGAGGCAGCGAGGATGCCGGCGAAAACGCCAAAGAGGAAAGCGACGTAGATGAGAGAGAGCACCACCACTGCCCCTGTGCCACTGCCAAAGCTGTAGGGGAAGTGGGGATAGCAATGGGGTAGGGGCAATCAGGGAAGCAAGGAAAGCACGGCAGGGGAAGAGGAAAGCGATGTTGATGAGTGAAAGCACAACCACTGCCCTTGAGCCGCTGCCAAAGCTGTTTGGGAGGGGACGAGAGTGGGTTTGGGTGGGCAATAAGCATGGTCGCGGCGAGCATGTGAGCGAACACAGGAAAGAGGAACATCTTGGGGCAAGGGGCATGCCATACACTAGCCCACTTACCGAACCGCCTACCGAGCCACTCACCGAGCCACCAAGGCCTCCCAGATGATGACTACAAAGATCTGCTGCCCACTCGTATCGCTATCCGTGCTGGTGAGATTCTCATCGTTCTGAATGATGAGTCGTCTTGAATCTCAAGCCACTATCGAGCCACTCAACGAGCCACCTACCGAGCTGCCCACCGAGCCACTTACCGAGCGAAAAGGCCTCCCAAATGATGGTAACCAGGATCTGCTGGCCGCCGTAACGCTGTCCTGCAGCCCCCAGGCAAGCAGCAGGTGTGATGAGTCGTCTTCAATCCCAAGCCAAGCCATTACCGAGCCACTCAACAAGCCACCTACCGAGCCACTCACCGAGCCACTCAACGAGCCACCTACCGAGCTGCCCACCGAGCCACTTACCGAGCGAAAAAGGCCTCCCAAATGATGGTAACCAGGATCTGCTGGCCGCCGTAACGCTGTCCTGCAGCCCCCAGGCAAGCAGCAGGTGTGATGAGTCGTCTTCAATCCCAAGCCAAGCCATTACCGAGCCACTCAACAAGCCACCTACCGAGCCACTCACCGAGCCACTCAACGAGCCACCTACCGAGCTGCCCACCGAGCCACTTACCGAGCGAAAAAGGCCTCCCAGATGATGGTGACCAGGATCTGCTGGCCACCCGTAACGCTGTCCGTGCTGGTGAGATTCTCATCGTTCTGAATGCAGAAGGTGAAGGTCACGAGCAGCCCCCACGCGAGCAGGCTGACGACAGACAGGCAGAGCACCATGCTGGCTGGGGAGGCACGGTCGGAGCGCTTGGTCTCCTCCGCCATGTGGGCCACTGTGTCGTATGCATAGAGGGAGTACTGGGATAGCTGCATGGCTGCTATGAAGGCGTACGCCTGTAGAGAGGGGAATGGAGTGCGGTGAAGAGAGGTGAGTCACAGGTGGGGGGTGCTCGGTTTCTTCTGCCATGTGGGCCACGGTGTCGTATGCGTAGAGGGAGTACCCACGTGAAAGAAGGGTGGCTTTGAGACGTCTCAAAACCACCCTTCTTTCACGTAGAGGGAGTAGTGTGACAGCTGCATGGCTGCTATGAACGCATAGGCCTGGAGGAAGAGTGAGTAAGTGCGAGGATAGAGGGGATGATTAGTGGTGAGTGATTGCTTTCCGCTGATATGCCATGTGGGCGGCGGTGTCGTATGCGTGGAGTGCAGGGAGTAGTGCAGCAGCAGACAGCCGTGTTTTGCGTCGACTCAAAGCTGCATGGCAGACAGCTTCATGGTCTTCTGGGCCATGGAATGTGGGCAACGGTGCGCAGTGGGAGTAGTGCAATGCAACAACTGCATCGTAAGGCGCATGCCTGGAGGGGGGTGGAGAGGGGGAGAGTGACAGCAGGACACGTGACAGCAGCACAAGTGACAGCAGGACACGTGACAGCAGCACAAGTGACCGCAGCACAAGTGACCGCAGCACAAGTGACAGCAGGGGCAAATAAACGGCATCTTAAGCTGCCCGTGTTAGGGGTACAGACGAAGAGATTCATTGGTGCAGGGGGGAATATTGTGGTGCAGAGGGTTGCAGGGTGGTGCAGTGCGGTACTCACCATAGTGGGCAGCAGAGACACGTCCAGCTGCACGTGGTAGTGAGTGAAGACGAAGGAGGGGGTCTGGTGCACTGGCGCCACTGCAGGCAACAGAATCATGATGACTATGGCGAGACCCATCTGGGGGGAAGGGAGGGAGAGCAGAGCAGAGCAGCGCAGCAGTGGCACAGGAGAGAAAGGGATAGGAGGGAGTTTGATGCACTGGCGCCACTGCAGGCAGCAGAATCATGATGACTATGGCGAGTCCCAACTGGGGAAGGGAAACGATTGAGCAGAGCAGCAGAGGGCAAGAGGGAGCAGAGGGAGGGTCAAATTAGGGGGATGGGATGGGTAGGTTACCTGGTAACAAACGCAGCCGCTGGGCGCGAAGGGAGTGTGCCGAAACAAACCCACCCACCTGGTAGACAGAGTTAGCCACGGCCAGGCAGCCAATGAATACACTTAACTGACAAGCGTTGAGTGGAAGAGATGGAGTTTATGTGAGTGGGGCCCACATAACAGGGGGGAGGGTTTTGGGGTGCTACAATGCAAAGCTGCTACAGTGAAGGCGAGCAGTTTACTTGATGAGGGTCATTTTGAAATTTTCTCAAAAGTTTGCCTGGTAAACAGCGCTGATCACGGCCAGGCGGCCGATGAACTCGATTGAGAAGGAGTTGAGAGGAGGAGAGGGATTACAAGTGTGGGAGGGGAGCGAGCCGGGGAGTGGGCGCACGTGGGAAGGAAGGCTTACCTGATACACAGCGCTGATCACGGCCATGCCGCCAATGAACTTGATAGAGAAGGAGTTGAGGAGATGGATTACAAGTGTGGGAGGGGAGTGAGCCGGGGAGTGGGCGCACGTGGGAAGGAAGGCTTACCTGATACACAGCGCTGATCACGGCCATGCCGCCAATGAACTTGATAGAGAAGGAGTTGAGGAGATGGATTACAAGTGTGGGAGGGGAGTGAGCCGGGGAGTGGGCGCACGTGGGAAGGAAGGCTTACCTGATACACAGCGCTGATCACGGCCATGCCGCCAATGAACTTGATAGAGAAGGAGTTGAGGAGATGGATTACAAGTGTGGGAGGGGAGTGAGCCGGGGAGTGGGCGCACGTGGGAAGGAAGGCTTACCTGATACACAGCGCTGATCACGGCCATGCCGCCAATGAACTTGATAGAGAAGGAGTTGAGGAGATGGATTACAAGTGTGGGAGGGGAGTGAGCCGGGGAGTGGGCGCACGTGGGAAGGAAGGCTTACCTGATACACAGCGCTGATCACGGCCATGCCGCCAATGAACTTGATAGAGAAGGAGTTGAGGAGATGGATTACAAGTGTGGGAGGGGAGTGAGCCGGGGAGTGGGCGCACGTGGGAAGGAAGGCTTACCTGATACACAGCGCTGATCACGGCCATGCCGCCAATGAACTTGATAGAGAAGGAGTTGAGGAGATGGATTACAAGTGTGGGAGGGGAGTGAGCCGGGGAGTGGGCGCACGTGGGAAGGAAGGCTTACCTGATACACAGCGCTGATCACGGCCATGCCGCCAATGAACTTGATAGAGAAGGAGTTGAGGAGATGGATTACAAGTGTGGGAGGGGAGTGAGCCGGGGAGTGGGCGCACGTGGGAAGGAAGGCTTACCTGATACACAGCGCTGATCACGGCCATGCCGCCAATGAACTTGATAGAGAAGGAGTTGAGGAGATGGATTACAAGTGTGGGAGGGGAGTGAGCCGGGGAGTGGGCGCACGTGGGAAGGAAGGCTTACCTGATACACAGCGCTGATCACGGCCATGCCGCCAATGAACTTGATAGAGAAGGAGTTGAGGAGATGGATTACAAGTGTGGGAGGGGAGTGAGCCGGGGAGTGGGCGCACGTGGGAAGGAAGGCTTACCTGATACACAGCGCTGATCACGGCCATGCCGCCAATGAACTTGATAGAGAAGGAGTTGAGGAGATGGATTACAAGTGTGGGAGGGGAGTGAGCCGGGGAGTGGGCGCACGTGGGAAGGAAGGCTTACCTGATACACAGCGCTGATCACGGCCATGCCGCCAATGAACTTGATAGAGAAGGAGTTGAGGAGATGGATTACAAGTGTGGGAGGGGAGTGAGCCGGGGAGTGGGCGCACGTGGGAAGGAAGGCTTACCTGATACACAGCGCTGATCACGGCCATGCCGCCAATGAACTTGATAGAGAAGGAGTTGAGGAGATGGATTACAAGTGTGGGAGGGGAGTGAGCCGGGGAGTGGGCGCACGTGGGAAGGAAGGCTTACCTGATACACAGCGCTGATCACGGCCATGCCGCCAATGAACTTGATAGAGAAGGAGTTGAGGAGATGGATTACAAGTGTGGGAGGGGAGTGAGCCGGGGAGTGGGCGCACGTGGGAAGGAAGGCTTACCTGATACACAGCGCTGATCACGGCCATGCCGCCAATGAACTTGATAGAGAAGGAGTTGAGGAGATGGATTACAAGTGTGGGAGGGGAGTGAGCCGGGGAGTGGGCGCACGTGGGAAGGAAGGCTTACCTGATACACAGCGCTGATCACGGCCATGCCGCCAATGAACTTGATAGAGAAGGAGTTGAGGAGATGGATTACAAGTGTGGGAGGGGAGTGAGCCGGGGAGTGGGCGCACGTGGGAAGGAAGGCTTACCTGATACACAGCGCTGATCACGGCCATGCCGCCAATGAACTTGATAGAGAAGGAGTTGAGGAGATGGATTACAAGTGTGGGAGGGGAGTGAGCCGGGGAGTGGGCGCACGTGGGAAGGAAGGCTTACCTGATACACAGCGCTGATCACGGCCATGCCGCCAATGAACTTGATAGAGAAGGAGTTGAGGAGATGGATTACAAGTGTGGGAGGGGAGTGAGCCGGGGAGTGGGCGCACGTGGGAAGGAAGGCTTACCTGATACACAGCGCTGATCACGGCCATGCCGCCAATGAACTTGATAGAGAAGGAGTTGAGGAGATGGATTACAAGTGTGGGAGGGGAGTGAGCCGGGGAGTGGGCGCACGTGGGAAGGAAGGCTTACCTGATACACAGCGCTGATCACAGCCATGCCGCCAATGAACTTGATAGAGAAGGAGTTGAGGAGATGGATTACAAGTGTGGGAGGGGAGTGAGCCGGGGAGTGGGCGCACGTGGGAAGGAAGGCTTACCTGATACACAGCGCTGATCACGGCCATGCCGCCAATGAACTTGATAGAGAAGGAGTTGAGGAGATGGATTACAAGTGTGGGAGGGGAGTGAGCCGGGGAGTGGGCGCACGTGGGAAGGAAGGCTTACCTGATACACAGCGCTGATCACGGCCATGCCGCCAATGAACTTGATAGAGAAGGAGTTGAGGAGATGGATTACAAGTGTGGGAGGGGAGTGAGCCGGGGAGTGGGCGCACGTGGGAAGGAAGGACGGTTTACCTGGTAGACGGCGCTGACGACAGCAAGGCGGCCAATGAACTTGATGGAGAAGGAGTTGAGGATGCCGCAGAGGAGAATGGCGCCCACTGTGATGGCGAATGACTCGTAGTTGTTCAGCAGATAGCCTCCCCCGTTGGCACCTCCTGGTGATGGGAAGGAGTGAGGGGGGAGAGAGTGGAAGGGGAGGAGAGGGGGAGGCGTGAGAGGAGAATGGCACCGACTGTGATGGCGAACGACTCGTAGTTGTTCAGCAAATAGCGTTCGCACCTCCTGGTGACGAGGGAGAGAGTAGGATCGGGAGAAAGAGAAGGCAGGGGGAGCAAGGAGAATGGCATGGTGAACAGTATGATAAAAAAGGAATAGTAGATGTTCAAGAGGTAGCCCTCGCGACCCGCCCCTCGTGATGGTGGTGAGAAAGGGAGGGCAGAGGGACGTCAGAGGACAAGGGCACCACCGGTGATCTGCTTTTGAGACAACTACTTTTGAGTCTGTTGTGGGGCGCCGCAAAAGCTAAAGCCCCAGATGGGAGTACCTGTGGCAACGAGCACAGTGCACTGTAGCATGATCACCCCGCCGTATGAAACTCCACTTAGCCCTACAGAAAAATAATCGGGCTTTAAGGGGCCTATTTCGGATGGCTGTACCTGTGGCAACGAGCACGGTGTACTGTAGCATTATCACCCCGCCGTACGAGACGCCGCCTAACCCCACAGAAAGGCCGAGAAACTCCAACCAGCCCTGGAGACGGGCGAGGAGGAGGAGGGATGGGGGGAGGAGATGATGGGGTGGAAAAATCGGGGGAGAGAAGGGGGAGGAAGGTTTGGGAAAGATGGCGGGAAGGAGGGGTTGGGTTGGGGGGAGGGGGGAGTTAGGGGGGTGGGATAAAACGAGGGGGAGGAGGGGTTGGGGATCAGAGGGGGAGAGGAATTGTGCTGATATTTGAGGATGACTAAAACCATGAAGTAGTAGCATACCAATCAATGTGCTCAAGCGTGGAGTGGGTTGCATGAACCGACCAGTAGTTCCATCTCACGACACTCAAGCCGCACCTCCCATACCAACTGCAACCCCTAGCTAGAACCATTCTATTCGCAACCTCTCATGCCAATCATCAACCCCCACAGCCATTCAAGGTGCAGCGCTTGGAGCCCCCATTCTCGTACCGTGATCCAAGCTGCAAAGGGGCCGTGCTTTGGGCCGGCCAGTGCCGCCGACCAGAAGTAAAGTGAGCCGGCCACCTGGAGGGAGGGGGGTGGTTGGTGGGGGAAGGGAGGGAGGGAGGGAGGGAGAGGAGGGGGGGAGGAAGAAAGGGAGGGAGGGAGGGAGGGAGGGAGGGAGGGAGGGAGGGAGGGAGGGAGGGAGGGAGGGAGGGAGGGAGGGAGGGAGGGAGGGAGGGAGGGAGGGAAGGAGGGAGAGAGGGAGGGAGGGAGGGAGGGAGAGAGGGAGGGAGGAAGAAAGGGAGGGAGGGAGGGAGGGAGGGAGGGAGGGAGGGAGGGAGGGAGGGAGGGAGGGAGGGAGGGAGGGAGGGAGGGAGGGAGGGAGGGAGGGAGGAAAGGAGGGAGGGAGGGAGGGAGGCAGTTTGGCCAGTGCTGCTGCGGACCAGAAGTAGAGTCAGGCGGGCACCTGAGATGGAAGGAAGGAAGGGGACAGCAAAAATAAGGGTTTCTCGAGCAAAAGAAACAGAGAAAACGGTGTTGTTCTGACGTCGAGTAGACAAGTAGGGAATGGCGAAGGAAACAGATAGATTGTTGCAAGTAGCGCTGTTGATCGGAAGTACAAAGGCTTGACGGGGGTGAAGGAATGAAGGAAGGAGGGAAGAGAGGAGAGGAGGGAGCAGAGAGAGGGGAGAGAGGGGAGGAGAGACGGGAAGAGACGAGGGTGGTGAGAGATACGAAGAGAGGAGGGAGGAGAAATCACTTACAGGAGCAGAGAGGGAAGAGGAAGGAAAGGCGAGAGGGACTCACGGGGTAGGAGGAGGAGATTTCGGCCATGGAGAGAGCGATGAGGTGGGTGAAGAAGACCGTGATCCACCAGTACCACACCACTGCCACTGGGCCCCCGTTGATATACGCCTGACTGTAACGAGTTACAAGTGTGGTTATAACGGGGATGGTTGTAGCGGGGATAGACGGGAGACAGGAGAAGGCAGGCGAGTAAAGAAGACGGTGTTCCACCAGTACCACACCGCGGCCACTGGACCCCCACTGATGTACGCCTGACTGTAACGGAGGTGGTTATAACGGGGATGATTGATGCATGAACGGACAGGAGACATAAGCGAGTCCGAGATGGTGATCCAACCCAACACTACCTGAGTCGCCGTTGACGAACACGTGACTGTAACGAAAGGGAGCACCATGACCGGGGGAAACGGGGGGAAAGGAAGAATTCAGCTTTTTTTTAAGTCGAGAAAAAATGTCAGGAAGAAGAAGAAGGATGGACATAAGAATGGGCAAGGGGGAGGGGGGGAGAAGGGGGGGGGAGAGGGGGGGAGGGATAGAGCGGGGAATAGGGGGTTTAAGAGGAGGGTTGCGGGCAGGAAGGAGTGGGGAGGAAGGGTGGGCATCAAGGGTGGAGCGGAAGGGGCGGGGAGGGGTGGGGAGCGGTGAGACGCCTCAGGATGGACATTTCCTGGTACGGGTATCTGTATCTGTAGCGGGAATCCTCCTCACCCATAGTACGGCACAATGCCGGTGAAAACAGTGATGGTCGAGAGCCCGATGGAGAAGAGCTCGAAGAACCCGAGCGCGCGTTTGAGCTCCTGCTTGTACCCCAGCTCGTTCAGCAGCTTCTCCCCGGAATCCACCTCCACCGTTAACTGCAGCCCGTCTTCCAACATAATCTCCATTGTCTCGCCCGCTCCGTCGCCTCCGCCGCCGCCGCCGGCGCCGTCTCCGCCGGCTTTACCATCCCCCGCCTGGCCGTGTCCCCCGCTTTCCGCTTTCCCCGCCGCGCCGGCCGTCGCGCCGTCCCAGTCTTCCGTCATGACCAGATCGTCGTCGGCCACCGCTGCGCCGTCTGTTTTGCCGGCCGACTCCCTTTTTCCCGGGAGGTCGAGGCTTCCGGACGAGTCGCCTCGGGTGCGCCATAAGGCGCGGCGCCCTAGAACCATGCTGACGCCGTCAACGGACAGCGGCTGATTGACAGTAACGGCCCCGAATTCGAGTCAACCCGTGTTTTTGTGAGCCAATGAAGTCAGTCGAGGCTATCGCTTCGCCATCGTTGCTTTCGTTGAAAAAAGAACGTTTTAGTTGACTAACCCAGGGGGAGTTGGTTACCGAATGGCACGAAAAACAGTCTTGTATCTCAAAACTGTGGCCGTCGACTCAACACTTGGAAACGCGAGCCATGGACTGGCGCGACTCGAGTGCAAAAGAATACGCACGGCTCCTCCAGGAGGAAAATAAGTTAATTTGTTTCTAGACGATACGAGGCGGATTTTCTGTCGGTTCGTCGACAGATGCGCCTAAGAAGCTCTGGGATTTTCCAGGATGGACCCCCGCGACACGCGAGCGCTTATTACTTTGACGCCGAACTACACCTACAATTAGGGCTTGCTCCAATAATGCGCGCCGCGAGCGTCTGTGTGTGTGTGCAAGACTGTTAGAGCTTGAACCGCAATGCCGTTGCAGCATAAGGTCCTCTCCGTCAGTCCCTAAAGCAGTCTATAGTCCCTTGTGCTAAGTAGTTCCTGTTGTCGATGCTTAGATGGCGTTCCCACGGTTTGGACAAGACGTGAGTCTGCCCACGCGGCTCGTGTTTCGGCGGGATGGTGTCCATGGTGGGGTGCTTCCCCACTTTGGACACCGCAGCGTTTTATGCCCAAATTTCGCAAATTCGGCTACAATCTCGCCTCCAATTACAGAGCAAAACGAATGTTCGCTAACCGTAGCGAGATCCAGCATTAATTTTCAGGTGTATTTTCTCAAGTAGGTCTGTTTGTTCGAGCGTGGAGTTGACTTTGGTTTCCGTACGGGGAGAGAGTTTCTTCTCGATTTTTGAAACGCTTTCGCCCCAAAAGTGATTCGTCGCCCTGCCCCTCGAGTGCACTTCACACCGTGGTTTGCGGATATTCTCGTCAGACGTTCGATTGGGTAACCATGACGGATCTTACGACCCAGATTGTTTGCACAGTGGTGTCCAGACCTGAGTCGCGACCATTCAAATTTTACAACATTGGAAATTTGCGAGCCGTGTGGGCAGACTCACACTTGTCCAAACCGTGGGAACGCCTCCTTAGACGGGGACTTCACGTTCAGGTTCCAACTTCCAATCCAACATACGAGTGAGTATTTGGATGCGGTAATAAGTGGCTCACCTGCTTGATTATCTGTCTAGTCCAGTCAAAAGCTAGGGGCCAACACCACCAGCTGCTTGGCAGGCAATCTCCGTGCGTGTACTACAGTACAACAGGCATGGCCCACAGGCAGAATGAACGGGACGATCTACTGTACGAAACGACTCACACCTGCTACCTTCGACAAAAGCGGAGATATGACAGGGAATGTTTGAGAGGTTAAGAGCGTGTCTCCATTTCTCTTTAACCCAAAGTTCGCTATAACAATAGCGGACCGTCCGTTTAGCGCGTAGCGAACATTTAGCGGACGAAAAGCGGACGGAAGCACGAACGGACGACGGGGTGACACATTTTTCAAGATTTCGAAATTACAGTTTACTGTGCATTCGTAGCACTTTTCGAGAATCTCGTTTTTTTCGCCACTCAAAAAACGCGGCTTGAATTCAAATGCCGAAACCAACTCATCACTCTCGAATTCCTGCCATAATCGCGCGCCAACCAGAATGCAGAACTGTAGTGTACTGTTGATTAGTCCGTTCGGAAAACGAACGGCGAATGAACCGCAGTTTCGACCTGACAAATGTGGGAAAAGTGACACCCCGATGCGGTGTGTATGCGACGTCGCATGCATACGCGCGAACACACAGACGAAACCTAACGAAACTAGTAACCACCTTACGAACCGTGCCGAAGGCTTGTTGCAATGTCACAAAGGCAGGTCAAGTGCTCCGCTTGTCAAACAACTTCTCTCTAAGCTCTCCGCCATGGCTCCTAGGATAACTTCAACAAACGCAATGTCAGGCTAACATCTATCAGTTACAAGATCTGAACTCATATTCTGGGTCTACTCATCAAGGGCTTGATTTCGACGTCATTTTGTGTTCAAACAGAGAACATTGGTTCGTCGTGACTTCCTCTTGTGAAGATCTGTTTTCAGGTTTTAAACTGGTTAAAGCACAAGACATTTAGTTATTCAAGGAAGTTATCATGGCCGGACTTAGCACAAGTCGACACTCAAGCTGGAACCTGGAAAGCAAGACAGATTTGACACAACAAGGGAAGAGAAAGTATAAGGCAGTTGGACCGTCAAATATTTTTCGTCAATCAAGTTTCTCTGCCATTATTCGACAACAGACAAGACAGGAAACGTCTCGCCAGCCTCGGACATGTTTTTTGCCACCATCAAGGGCGACCAAATCTGGATCAGCGTTGGTTTCTGTGAAGACAGGGGATACATCATGTCTGCAGCAGACACAACTCGAAGGACATCTACAATGGCTCTTGAGAAGAAGTACAGGTGCAAGGAAGGGTGTGAAGTACAAAGAAATACCTCAGAGAAATATTTTCAGACTGTCAACTTTTTCTGCCATCCTACGCCGTTCAGAAGCAGAAGCTTCACACTTGCCACCACGTCAACTCATGACAAGGATTAACTACATTTCTGAATCAAGATCAGGTTTCACCCAATCAAGAGATCTGACCATATCGGATCAAGAGCTACATATTTTCCAAATGACGATATCAACTAAGAAAGACGATATCTCTGTGCTTCCTGGCGACAATTTCTGGCAGCAGGAAGGAAAGGTCGATGCTGAAAGCAATATTATGGATTTTACGGCAGAAAACTCTCAGGATAAGCCTATGGCGCTGGACGAAACTGGTCTATGGCGCTACGTGACTATGCAAGAGACAAGCATGGTCTGTCAGGGTACTCAGGAGGGAGCCGTTGTAGGTGCAGCTGCTCCTGCTTTCTCTCGGACAGTGGGGATAGCTCCCAGCACACAGCTCACGCAACTACCTCGAGTGACCGCAAATGTGACAAGGAGCTTTGGTGCAGGCTCTGTTGCTAGGCAGCAACTTCGAATCTGGGCATCTTCTGCTCTAACCCAACTGTACCACTCTCGACAAGTCAGGTTTGGTGGAGCCGACGGACCAAGGCTGAAGTGCACTTTCGTCACCAAGGTCCTGTTCAGCATCAAATTCGAACCAGGGTTTATTCTGTTGCAACCCATCCTTACAAGACTCGGCAAGGCAGGCTCGGAGCCAACCGATACATACAGCATGCGGAATATCTCAACGAAACGGGGTCGACGCTCGGTCGACGACCGTCGACCACCGTCGACCTGACCGTCGGGCAGAAAAAAAACTAAAACCCTGTCGGTCGATGTCGGTGGTCGAGCGTATGTGCTGGCTGCGTTATCCACGTGGCACGAGTAGGATAGCACGTGGGAGCGCCCCTTCTCCCACAATCGATCGAGATTGACAACCGTCAACACATCCATCCGAACCGAACTTCGCCGGCATGAAATGTTCATTTGACTGCCAGCGCTGAACTGCAGTTGGGCTTTGGATAAGGGCAGGCCAAAAGTTTTTGTTCAGAGCTTATCGGACACGGTTTAATACGGTCAATTACATTTAGTCACGGTTCTTTTGGGCCATCGCGGACGAAGATCAACAATTCATATTGAACCCGAACAAAAGTATGACCCGCCCCACTCTGCTTTTGAGTTACACTTCAGATTTATGGTCAGTTTATTCGATGGCGTTGTCTGGTCTGGTCCGGGGAACGAAGCGCGGTTCGACGGTTACGCTTGTTCCTTACCTGACAACGAACGTTGTACTGACTGTGGCCATGAGACCCATCGTGCGATCAAATCTCACGGCTAACAGCGATGCGAGCGAACGTCCAGTGGGAATGCAATCTTAGGCGGTTAGTAGTGCGACTGTGCGACATTAGTCTGTTCCTTCCTTACAATGCAGCTCAACTCAACTGAGAATACAGTGCTTTTTGGCGCCGTGAACTCCGCCGGGCGTTACAGTGACATCGACCTGTTACGGTAAAAGGGAAACCTATCCACTCGCCAGGCTTATTACCTTGTTTGAACAATTAGGATTGTTGCTTTCGTTTTTGGAGTACCGAACACAGCCGTGTAACATCATCAGACCCGCAATGGATAGTAGACGCCCCGCGATCGTTAGTTCCGCGCATTTCCTCCGCCGATCGCCTTGCGCCATTGCGCGGAGTTTCCGCGCTCTTGCGCTACTCGCGCTGCTCGTCGCCGCCGCCTGCCCCCGCCCGGCATCTGCTGGCCCCACGCAGAGTGAAAACCGCACCCTCTCGTTGCGCGGCCGGCGGGTACTGCTGCGACAGATAGCGCAATCGCAGGCTCAACAGGTGCGACGCCAGTGTGCCCCATTGCCCGCATGTCCGCGTACCACCACTTCCCCCTTGCCCCTTGCCCCTTGCCCCTTGCCCCTTGACCCTTGCCACTTGCCCTGTGCCCCGCTTGCCCCTTGCTCCATCCTCTTTGTCGCTTTGCCCTTTGCCCCTTGCCCCACCCCCTGCCCCCTTGCTCCGTGCCCCTTGATCCCTGCCCTTTATTGCGCCCCTTGCCTTTGTGCACCTCCCCTCGCCCCTTGAGGCACCCAGTCGACGCAAGGCCTCCCATACACATGCTGTCAAACCGCCTCGTCCTCTGCTTCCCCGCGCCATGCCCCATGCCTTTGCGCCATGCCCTCCGCTCCGCTCCCCCCTTCCCTCCCCGTCCCCCCCTCCCGCGCTTGCAGGTGCACGTGTCACTGGCGGGGGTCGGGCGAGTGCTGGTGTGGTGGGTAACGAGTGGCAACACGCCGGCCAGTGTGGAGTATGGGGAGAGCCGCGGCAAGTACACCAAAACGGCTTCCGGGAGTGTGTCTCGTTATTCGCTCAACGGATACACGTAAGAGTGATGCGATCCCCGATCACACTCCGCCTTTTCTACCTCCTCTCTCCCTTACGTACGTCGCTTCCGTCCCTCTCCCCCCGTGCGTGCCCCATCCAATGCCGCTGGCTGCGTCCTTTTCCTGTTGCCACATCATCCATGCCTGTTTCCACGTCATACATGTTCTCGTCTCGTGCCACGTCATCCCTGCCCTGCCGCCCGGCGCCCGCAAGCAGGTCGGGGTACATCCACAAGGTGCTGCTGGGGCGGCCCATGAAGGACGGCGTCTTAAAGCCCGGCACCACCTACTACTACCGCATGGGAGGCGCGGGCCCCACGAGGGCCTTCAAGACGCCACCGCCATCGTCCCATCCCATCAGCGTGGCGCTCGTGGGTGGGTCAAACTTCTTGTGTTTGGCTGTACCGGTTGTGTTGTGTCTTGATCTGTGGCTTGGGACAGGGTGGGCCGCGCTGCTTTGTGACTGGGTGTGTTGTGGTTTGGGGACAGGGGATGTGGGTGGGCGGAATGGCAGTAGATACAGCTGAGAGCTTCTCGCCCTTTTTCCCCTTCTCCCCATTCTTTCCCTTCGGCTTCTCACCCTTCTCCCCCTTCTCCCCTTTATACCGCTTCCCCCTCTTCTCCTCCTTCTGCCCCTTAGCCCCTATCGCCTCTCCTCCTTTCCTTCCCACCCATGCACGCTGGCCGCCTTGCACACAACAGCAGCAGCAGCCTCGGCCACCATCACTCGCCTCTCATGCCGCTCCACTCTTTTCTCCCTCAACACACAAGAACTCCCCTCTCTCCAACCCTCCCTCCTTCCCCCAACCCCACCTCCCTTTCCTCCCACATCCCCTTCCCACCCCCCGCCATCCCCCCTTCTCCCCACCAGCGGACATGGACTCAACGCCAGCAGCAGCCGCCATCATGTCTCGTCTCTACCGCACGCCCCTCCACACACACAAGCACTCCCCCCTCTCCCCTCTCCTCCCCCCCACCAACAGAACCAGCCGACATGGACTCAGCGCCTCTCCCGCACGCCCTCTTGGTCCCCCCCTTCGCTTCCCACCCACCCCTCCCCCTTGTCTTCTCCCCCTCACCCTTTTCCCCGCACCAGCCGACATGGATTCAACGCCAGCAGCAGCCGCCACCATCTCTCGCCTCTCCCGCACGCCCCACTCCCTCGTGGTCTTCCCAGGGGACCTCTTATACTGCAACGGCTACCAACCCCAGTGGGACCACCCCTCCCACCCCCCCTTTTTTCCCTTCCCACCCACCCTCCCCCCCCCCCCCCCCCATCCGCCGACATGAACTCAACGCCAGCAGCAGCCGCCAGGTGACTTTTGAGTTGACTCATATTTCCCCTCACCCCCCCACCCCCCCAACCCCACCCCCACCCACACACACCAGCCGACATGGACTCAACGCCAGCAGCAGCCGCCACCATATCGCGCCTCTCCCGCACGCCGCACGCCCTCGTGGTCTTCCCAGGGGACCTCGCCTACGCCAACGGCTACCAACCAGAATGGGACACGTGGCAGTCCCTCATCCAGCCGGCGGCGTCCCTCCGACCCTGGATGACAGGCGCGGGGAACCACGAGGACGAGGCAGATGAAGGCGCGCCGAGCTCGAACCCCTTCAAGGCGTACAACGCGCGCTGGCCCATGCCTGCTGCTGCCAGCGGGTCGTCTTCGAACCTCTTCTACTCGTTTGACAGCGGCAGCATTCACTGGGTGGTGCTCTCCTGCTACTCGGACTATTCCCAGGGATCAGCGCAGTACAACTGGCTGCAGGTATGCTGCTAGTGGGTCGCCCTCTGTGCCTGCCAGCATGCCATGCTACTCCCTCTGTGCTCTTTCTGCTGCCAGCGGGTCGTCGTCAACCCTCCACGACTCATGTGACAGTGGCAGCATCCACTGGTTGACACTCTCGTGCTCTCGTGTTATTTGGACTCCTCCCAGGGATCCGCTCAATGCAATTGGCTGCATGTGTGCTGCTAGTCTCTCTGTGCGAGCCTCCTTGTGACGATAAATATCCTCTCTGGCTGCTCCCAGGAGCCCCCTCAGCAGTACCAATCCAATTGGCTCCAGGTGTGCTGCTGGTTTCTCTGTACTAGAATGTTGGTGTGGTGTACATGTGCCTGCTGCTGCCAGTGGGTCACCGTCGAACCTCTTCTACTCGTTTGACAGTGGCAGATTACACTGGATCGCGCTGTCCTGCGACTCCGACTACACCCAGCGAGGCCATGCGCCTGGCGCTGGAGCAGACGCCGTATTACGCCAGGGCTGGAGATTGTGCTGTGCATTGCTCCTCTTTTTTAATTGCTCCCGCCCCCCCTTCTTCCCAACCCCCATCCCCCCCTCCTCCTCCCCTATGCTTTGCTTTCCCCCCGGGCCCCCCCTCACATCTACAGGCGGATCTAGCCAAGGTGGACCGCAAGGTGACGCCGTGGCTGATGGCAGCGTTCCACGAGCCGTGGTATCACAGCAACAAGGACCACCAGCTCAGCGCTCCCCTTCCCTCAACCCCCCCTTTCAACCTACAGGCGGATCTAGCCAAGGTGGATCGCAAGGTGACGCCGTGGTTGATAGCAGCGTTCCACGAGCCGTGGTATCACAGCAACAAGGACCACCAGAAGAGTGGCTCCCCCTCCCTCCCCTTCCCTCCCCCTCCCCCCTTTCAACCTACAGGCGGATCTAGCCAAGGTGGATCGCAAGGTAACGCCGTGGTTGATAGCGGCGTTTCACGAGCCGTGGTATCACAGCAACAAGGACCACCAGAAGAGTGGCGAGGACATGCGCCTGGCGCTTGAGAAGCTGCTGTACGACGGGCACACGGACGTGGTGGTGTGCGGCCATGTGCACGCCTATGAGCGCACGGTACGTTGGGGGGAACATGAGCGGACGGTGAGTGTGAGGCGCCGAGGAAAGGTGGTCACAGGGGGTGGTGTGTGTGGCGTGGTGGGAAGACTGGGCGCTGGAGAAGCTGTTGTATGATGCGCACACTGACGTGGTGGCGTGTGGGCACGTGCACGCTTATGAGCGCACGGTGAGTGGGAGAGTGGGGTGGTGGACGGGGCATGGTGGGAAGACATGCGCCTGGCGCTGGAGAAACTGCTGTTCGATGCGCACACGGATGTGGTGGTGTGCGGGCACGTGCACGCCTATGAGCGCACGGTACGTTGGGAGGAACATGAGCCGGACGGTGAGTGTGAGGCGCCTCAGGAGGTGCCTGGCGCTGGAGAAGATGCTGTTCGATGCACGCGTGAAGCTGCTGCTGTATGATGCGCACACGGACGTGGTGGCGTGCGGCCACGTGCACGCCTATGAGCGCACGGTGAGTGGGATAGCTCATGAGCACATAGTGGTTTGGATAGGTGGGAAGGGGGGAGGGTGGGTGGGGGGGTGGAAGAGGGGTTGGCATGGCCGGACGACGCACGCACGTACATGCGCCGTGCATGGAGAGTGTGTGAGGCTCACGGGTGGGCTTTGCATGCCGGCATGCTCGTGAACATGTGTGGGGTATGAGAGACGATGCTCTTGTGCTGCCAGGGCTGATGTGGTGTGGTGAGTTGCCTTTGGGGTGTGGTGCACGTGGCTTGGTGAAAAGATGAGGCACTGGAGCAGATGCTGTGAGCAGTGAGGGATCATGTGCACTTGTCTCTGAGGGCAGCGAGCGTCACATGAAGGATGGTGCCTGTGGCACCGTGCATGGTGCTTGCATGGTGATTGCATAGAGCATTTCACGCCCATGCCATCCTCTCACGCCCATGCTATCCTCTGGGATGCATGTCATGCCACCCAAACTCACTGTTCCCCCTACTTTTTTTCAGCTCCTTGGCTCCCCATCTTCTCTCCCCCCATCTTCTGCATTCCCTCGCCCTCACCCCCCTCTTGTCTCCACTCCCCCCCTTTTGTCCGCTCACATCCTCGTCCCCGCTCTCTCTTCAACCTGTGCGATGCTATGCTGCATCTCACTGCTGCTGTTTGCACACTCCTTGGATAAATCTGATCACCGGTGTGTATTCTGTCGTTGCATGCATCTCCCCAACATCACATGCATGCATCCCCCCACCATCACATTCCCCAGCTGCCTCTCTACAACAACGCCCAGGACCCGTGCAGCACGGTGCATCTCAAAATGGCAGCCCATCATGTTGTGTTTTCGTTTGTGCATGCATCGCCCACACTCATCCCTTCAGCTGCCTCTATACAACAACGCCCAGGACCCATGTGGCATGGTGCACCTGACTGTCGGCACCGGTGGGGCCGACCTTTACACAAGGTAACTCGTTTTAAGGTGCAGATGCAGTCATAGACACAGGCACACGCAGAGACACGCACACACTCACACGCACGCGCGCATGCATATATAAAAGTCTATATGCAAAGCAACTCGTTCCAAACATTCCCTATAATTTCGATTGTTGTGGCACAAGGCGCTGCAGCACCGTCTCGGATCGTCCTCGTCCCCTCCTTGTCACCTTTACTCAGATCGTCTCATTTTTCCCTTGTCCACATTTCTTTCCCACTCCAATCTCCCTACCCTCCCCTCCCCCCCCTCCTTCCCCTCCCTCACCTTTGTCTCCTCCCCCTTTTCGCCCTTCTCCCGGGGTTGAAAACCTTCCTTCTTTCCCCCATTTCCCCCCCTCCCCCTCAACTCCCAGTTTCCTCTCCCCCAAGCCTGCGTGGTCGGCCTTCCGCCAGGCAGCGTATGGGTTTGGGGTGCTGTCAGTGGGAGGGGGCGCCAGCAAGGGCGAGGCGGTGTGGAGGTGGAGGCGGAACAGCGATGCAGCGGGGGTGGTGGCAGATGAGGCCAGCATCATATCGCATGCCAGCAGCAAGGCTCCTGCACAGTGCCGGGCGTGACTGATGCAAGAGCCACACAGGATGTGGCAGCAGGGGTGGGGCAGAGTGGAGGTGGAGGGAGATGGAGGGAGGTGGCGCGAGGTGGAGGAGGAACAGCGAGGCAGTGGGGGTGGTGACATATGAGGGGAACCTGATATCGCATGCCAGCAGCAAGACTCCTGCGCAGTGCCGGATGACCCTCTCCTCCATGTGCCGGGTGTGACCCTCCATGTGCCAGGTGTGACTGAGGCAAGAGCCGCACAGGGTGTGTGTGGCAGAAGCACAGGTGGGCAAAAGTGGAGGTGGAGGAGGTGGAGGAGGGGGAGGAATGTGACGTGATGTGAACCACCAGGCAAGGCAAGGGACTGGCAGTCCGGCACATGTAGTGTAGAGTAGGGTATAGGTGCTAGTGTTTGCTGTTGAGAGGCCACTGGTGGAACAACTTTGTTGCTGTTCCTGTTTGTCATGTCTTAATGCTGCCAAAAGTCTGGAGCCCATGGGTTGAGTGAGGGAGTGGCCACTACCTGAGTGAGGGTGGTTGCTGTTAGCAACCACTAGTGCCATCACATCTTCATAGAGCGAACCAGATTTGTGAGACACCCTTGCCATCTTGCACAACTGTAACTGACGCGGCTCAAAACCATCGGCGAAATCCACACACTTCTACTCTACACGCACTTCCGTACCGTAGGTCTGTTCTCCATCAACACGCCTGGTTTCGCTTCACTTCGCAGGCACTAGCATGCAGTTTCAGAGTACCAAGCGTTTTGAACTTGAGGACTCTTTTAAAGGAGTTGAGTTGGGGGCTCTGTCTGTAGCAGCATGGTGCGCTTACGGTACCCGTAATCACCCGGGCATACCACCTGCCGAACATCCCCGGGTGGCTTGTGTGGGGTGGGTGCCTTACTTAGACTCATTTTCGTTATAACATCCCCCTTCGGGGTGAATACCTCTGTTCTTATACATTGTGCTGTTACTGTATATAACTGTTAACAAGTAGGAACAAGTACGGGAGTTACCCAATCCATGCAAGAAATGGCCTGGGATGGAAATAAGCAATTGAATTATGATAACATGTTACTGCACAGTGGAAACCACTCGTGCCCACTTGTGTCCTCGCCTGGTCTTACATGAAGCTGCGTTGCTCTACTTGAACATGAGCGGTGCGAGGGCGAGAGTGATGAGAGCAGCGAGAGCAGTGGCCGGTGAAGCGAGCGAACCTGCCATTGCGAGGGGGAACAACAGGGAAAACAGACTCAGGTCAAAACATCCTACGATAAAGAGGAGAAAAGGAGGCATCGGATTAGTGAGATGTGTGGAAAAGCGCAGCGGAATAAGAGGGTGAGGTAGCAAACAGGAAGGCAAGATTGAGGCAACAGAACTATTTGAGAAAACGAAAACGTTGCCTAGCACATCAGAAAGGGGGATGACGCACACGAGATGCACAGGAGAAGCATGGGAGAAGCATGGGAGAAGCATAGGAGAAGCATAGGAGAAGCATAGGAGAAGCATAGGAGAAGCATAGGAGAAGCATAGGAGAAGCATAGGAGAAGCAACTCACCAGCAGTCTTGGGTGGGGGAGGAGGAGCGGCAGGAGTAGAGGCACCAGCAGGGGGAGAAGTGGAACCGGCAGGGGGAGCACCGGCATCAGCAGTAGGAGCACCGGCATCAGTTGGAGGAGCACCGGCATCAGTAGGAGGAGAAGCTGCACCAGCAGAGGGAGCAGCAGCGGCAGCAGTGGGAAGGGAAGGAGAGGCCAAAGCGACCCTGCCGTCAGCTGTGACGGTCAGCGGCGCCCCAGCATAGAGCACCATACCAGTGCTGGTTACAACAATAGTGCCGTTGCCCCACCCTTTCACGTCCCCTGCACTGTACGACCCATCCTCATTCCGGATCGGCACAATCTTCGCTCCCGTACCGTCCAGAACCGTTCCGTTTACCAGAACCGTCGTTCTTCCCACACGCAGCCCCGCGTTGGGCCCAGCAGTGTCAATAGCAATGCCGCCCGGAGCCGCAATCGTGCCGTTCTTGTAAAGCGTGTAGTCGCTAAGAGAGCGGGACCCGTCGGGGTTGGTGGCGGTGGTGACAGGCTTGCTGAAGGAGTCTACGAGGGAGATATTCGTGCCGCTCAAACACAGTGTATAGCCGCCGAACGACAGGCTGTGGGTGGCGGGGTTTGCGAAGATGGCGACGCCAGGCACGGGAACAGCAACCCGCGGAGCGAAAGCAACGCTGCCGTCCGCTGTGAGGGTGAGCGGCGCGCCGGCGTTGATCACCGCGCCACCGCTGCCGATGATGAGGCCGTTTCTAGGCCACCCAGTCATGTCCCCTGCTGTGTACGACCCGTCCCCTTTAGGGTTTTTCGTCGGCACGAGTTTCTTTCCCGAACCGTCCACAATGGTTCCGTTCCTTAGAACTGTTGTTGTTCCCATCGAGAACAATGGATCAGAGCTGGAACCTTGAAGGTAGATGGAAAGCCCCCCCGGACCAGTGACGGTGCCGTTTTGGTACGCGGTGTACCCGGCAACAGTGGCGGATCCGTCCGCGTTATAGGTGGGCGCGACAGGCGCGCCGTTCCAGTCGACAACGGCCAGCGAAGGCGGGTTGGTTGCGGGGTTCACAGACACAGTGTAACCTGGACCCAACCCCAGGCTCTGAGTGGCCGGCACGTAGGTGACTGCGGCGAATGTATCATGATCCTGTGCGACAGCGACAGTCACTGTCGCCGAGACCGAGACGATCAGAGAGAGCAGCAGCAGCAGCGGCTGGTCGCGCAGCAGCAGCAGCAGCCGCGGGACCCGACGCGTCCCGCGCGGCGGAGTCTGGCGCGCCATGGCTGGCGGGGGAGGTTGTGGTCCGAGTCGCGGACGGGTGGAGGCCGCCTGACTCGCTGCGTAGAGGAAAGGATAAACAGGGCTCGCTGACTCGGTAGCTCACTCGCTCGATGCGCGCGAGCCGCGGCGGTGCGCGCTCCGGAAGTTCCTCTGCTCTAGACTCGCTCGGTGCGCGCGGGACTGACAGACGGCGGGTGGTGGAGCGGCGGCATCGCGGGATGAGAGGTCAACCTGTTCCGAAGCGAGGCGGCGGAAAGTGAGGGCCATACCTCCGAAGGCGAGGGAGAACGGGTCTCTGAGCGACGCGAGCGGGTCTCCTTCGCGCGAAGGACCCGTGACGGGATCATGTACCGGATCTGCTGGTCCTATACTGACCAACCGATCGCTGCGCCGCCATCGCAAAAAGTGCGGAACTCGATCCGCAAAAACAGAATTCATCGCCACCGTGACGCTCGGCTGCGCTGCCCGCTTTCATCGCCCGTAAGACGGTTGGTTACCTGAAAGGCGTGCTGCGCTACAGCATGAAGTCAAAGGTCGAAGGACTACGCCTCGTGTGACTAATCACAGTCAGCTTTGCTCGAACTTCGCTGATCCATTTTCTTACCAATTTCTCAGTTTCATCGCCCAGTCAGCATCTCTCGAACTTCTTTCATCCCCCCAAGTTCAACCACTGCGAGAAACGACAATTTCGCGTCTCCCTGCCCAGGCGTTGAAATTACACCTGGTGAAGAGAGGAGAAGGTGTACAGTAGGGTACTGTACACCTGTTCCGCCGTTAATTAACCGCCATGTTTGTCGGCATGCAGGGCGTTTTCTGTTAGGTGGCCAGAAATCGCTGTTCACACTTGTGACTTGACCAAACCAAGTGGGAGAAATCGCCGAGCATTATTTTAAAAAAATCAGCTGCAGTCGCACTGGCGGGACATATTTCGCGACTCTTTTATTTGGCATATCGCCACCATCGAGCTTCTAATTTCCTTCTAATTTCCTTACACAATACAAGAGCAAATGCCCCTGTCGGCTGTATCTTCACCCTCAGATAGTTCAAAACACTGGCGCTTAAAACATTAATTAATAAAACTTAGTGTAAACACCAGACAGGTCGATGTAGTATAATGGTCAGTATCTCCGCCTGTCACGCGGAAGATCCGGGTTCGATCCCCGGCATCGGCGCAATGGCACTCTTGTTGCAAAGGTCACACCTGTTCCTTTCTCTAGCTTTTTTGGTCAGACACGTCACACCCTGACGACGGGACTGTGTGACCTTGACCCCAATAATCCAAATCATGCTGTTAACTACCCTGTATCAGATCGTCTCAGCGGGGTGTGAAAGATAATGGGTGAGGACTTAGTACCAGTTTCATCGTACTGGCTAGGTCTATAGGACAATGTTGTGTAACCCCTCGTTCACCCTTCCACTGGCTAGGTAAAACATGAAACACCCGGGTAGCGCAAACTCATGTTCCAAGTCCCAGTCCTGATGGATTAAAAGCCACAAAGATTCATGCAGGGATGAATCCAGTGATGGCCCCGACCGCAACGTCATTAGTATAAAGATGCATGCATTCCATGGAATGAATCACCTAGTGTGTAGCATGGCATGTGGAGATGAGGAAAGAATCGGCAATGCCCCCAACAATGAATAACACAATATCAAAATCGGTACACTGGTGGATTGCAGCACATTTTTAGACAGGCATTTGTATGCCATCCCTGTTCCCCGCATTGTTTTCATATTAGAGTCTAGAACTGTTATCTAGACCCCCCAATCGAGAACCAGACCCAGCCTCACACTACCCTTGGAGTAACTACTACTAGGCTCTGGAAATAATGCCTGATTCTTGTGGATGTAACTGCACACCGACTGACTTCAGCTCACAAATAGCCTGAGAGGATCCAGCAAAGAACATGAATGGCACCAGGAACATCAAAATGAGGCGAGAAAAGAAGAATCAGGATCCAGCGTGGTGGAAAGGCACTTGAGGCGCCTCAGAAATCTTTCGGATGTAACTGCACACCGACTGACCTCAGCTCACAGACAGCCTGCAGAGAAGAACATTAAAGTGAGATGAGAAAAGGGAATTAGGGTCCAGCAAGGTGGAATTTTGTAGGCGCCTAAAAAAGGAATCAGGATCCAGCATGGTGGAAAGGCATTCTCAGTGAGAGGTGAAGTTTGCCGCGATTGAAAAGACTTGAAAGGTAGACAGGACAGAGCATTCTTGGGAGACAGGACAGGGAATACTTAGGGGAAAGGATAGAACATACCGTACTCATGAGGGTGCAGGATCAGAGATAGCTCTAATTAATTGAGGATAGGCATGGAAATGAGGAACGCTGAGCTCATGGGGAAATCAATACCTGAAGGATACTCGCATGGTTGATGGGAATTGCAAATGCCACTCCTTCAGCATCCGACCGGACTTTTAAGTCGACTCAAAAGTCTCGCAGTGAGATATGCAGTGAGATATGCAGTGAGATATGCAGTGAGATATGCAGTGAGAGATGCAGTGTGAAGCGACTCACATGGTTGATGGGGATGGCAAATGCCACTCCTTCAGCATCCGACCGGATGGCTGTTGTGATGCCAATCACCTGTAGCAACCAGTCAAATCGTGCCATGTCAGCAGCAAGCTAGGCGAAGCATGACCTCATATGAGGTTCTGTTCACAAGGGGACTGCCAGATCTCCCCAGGTTGATGGGGGGCCAGTCAGCACAAGGAATACGGGGAAGCAGCTCTACAGAGCATTACACCCCTCACCGATAGGAGGGCAGTGGGCACACAGCACTTAGGGGAAGCTTGAGAGTGCACCTCGCACCTCCACAAAACATGTTATCAGAAGGTCTGCCTGAGGTTTTTGAGGCGCCTCAAAAATCGCTTGAGAGTGCAGCTCGCACCTCCACGAAACATGGTTACGGAAAGGGCTCTCCGAGTTGATGGGAGGCCAGAGCTCTCCGAGTTGATGGGAGGCCAGAGCTCTCCGAGTTGATGGGAGGCCAGAGCTCTCCGAGTTGATGGGAGGCCAGAGCTCTCCGAGTTGATGGGAGGCCAGAGCTCTCCGAGTTGATGGGAGGCCAGAGCTCTCCGAGTTGATGGGAGGCCAGAGCTCTCCGAGTTGATGGGTGGCCAAGCAAGCAGCATGTGACATCCAGGGAAAGCAGGCTTACACAGCAACACACACTTCAGCAGAGGATTGAGAGAGGAGCACCAACCCACCTCTCCAAACTCGTTCACAAGGGGACTGCCTGAGCTCCCCGGGTTGATGGCACAATCTGTTTGGAAGAAGTGGAGCGAGGAGTGCGGCACTCCCACCTGATGGGAGAGAAAGAGGGGGAGGGAGAGAGGGAGGGGGAGGGAGAGGTGGAGAGGGAGAGAGGGAGTGGGAGGGGGAGGGGGAGAGGGAGGGGGAGGGGGAGGGGGAGGGGGAGGGGGAGGGGGAGGGGGAGGGGGAGGGGGAGGGGGAGGGGGAGGGGGGAGGGGGAGGGGGAGGGGGAGGGGGAGCGGAAGGAGGAGAGGTGACCGGGTTGATGGCACAGTCTGTTTGGAAGAAGTGCAGCGAGGAGTGTGGCACTCCCACCTGGTGGGAGAGGGGGAAAGAATTGTGAGTGAAGGGGGAGAGCGAGGGAGGGAGAGAGGAGAGCTGCCCGGGTTGATGGCATGGCACAGTCAGTTTGGAAGAAGTGGAGTGAGGAGTGCAGCACTCCCACCTGGTGGGAGAGGTGGGGGGGGGGTGAAAGGGAAGCGGAGGGAGAAGGAGGAGTGGGAGTGGAATGAGGAAAGATCTCTGGGTCGGTGACACGTTCGGTTTGAGAGTATTGCAGCGAAGGGTGTGGCACTCCCACCTGGTGGGAGGGGTGGGCGAGGGGAGAGGAAACTCGAGGGAGTGAGAGTAGGGGGAGAAGGAGGTAGTGGGGGAGGGAGTGGGAGAGGGAGAAGTGGGAGTGGGAGAGGAAGGAGTGGGAGTGGGGGAGAGAGGAGTGGGAGTGGGGGAGGGAGGAGTGGGAGTGGGGGAGGGAGAAGTGGGAGTGGGAGAGGGAGAAGTGGGAGTGGGAGAGGAAGGAGTGGGAGTGGGAGAGGAAGGAGTGGGAGTGGGGGAGGACGGAGTGGGAGTGGGAGAGGAAGGAGTGGGAGTGGGGGAGGGAGAAGTGGGAGTGGGAGAGGGATGCTGCCCCTCGCCCCGAGCAGAGCTGTTCCCAATCCCCACCCCCCACCCCCTCTCACCCCGCAACCCCGCAACCCCCACCCCCCATGCCTCAACCTCTCCCTCACCTGAGCGGCAGTGCGGTGCAGGCTGCTGATCACGCCCACGCTGTAATCCTATGTAAACCTGCTCTCCCCCTCTCCCCATCAACCCCCACGCCCCACCCGCTCTCTCACCTGAGCGGCAGTGCGGTGCAGGCTGCTGATCACGCCCACGCTGTAATCCTATGTAAACCTGCTCTCCCCCTCTCCCCATCAACCCCCACGCCCCACCCGCTCTCTCACCTGAGCGGCAGTGCGGTGCAGGCTGCTGATCACGCCCACGCTGACGCTGCCAAACGTCCCATGCACAGCTGCTCCTCCCCTCCCTCCACCCCGTCCTCCCCCTCATAACTCCCCTCCCGCCCAACAACCTCACCTGAGCGGCAGTGCGGTGGAGGCTGCTGATCACGCCCAGGCTGATGCTGCCCCTTGTTGACCCGTGTAGACCTGCTCTCCCCTCTCCCCTCAACCCCCACCTCCCCCCAACCGTCCAACCTCACCTGAGCGGCAGTGCGGTGGAGGCTGCTGATCACGCCCAGGCTGATGCTGCCAGGCAGCCCCACGTGAACCCGTGTAGGTCTGCTCTCCCCATCCCCACATAGATGCCCACCCCCACCCCCACCCCCACCACCACCCCCACAGCCTCACCTGAGCAGCGGTGCGGTGGAGGCTGCTGATGACGCCCAGGCTGATGCTGCACCACGTAAACCCATGTAGATCTGCTCTCCTCCCTTCCCCCCTCCCCCATCAACCACACCCTCACCTGCGCGGCGGTGCGGTGCAGGCTGCTGATCACGCCCAGGCTGATGCTGCCAGGCAGCCCCACGGGATTGCCCACCGAGATCACCCAATCAGCAAGCTCCACGTCATCACTGTCACCAATGGGCGCACTTGGGAGCCACTCCTCTCCTTCCCCGCTGCCCGCTCCTCCCTCCTCTCCGTCCGTGTGCCCTCCTCTCTCCCCTCCTTTCGCTTGTACCTCTCTTCTCGCTTCCCCCAATGTGCCTGCTACGGATGGTTTCTCTCCCCATCCTCCCTTGAAAATGTCATTTTCGCCCGATTCTTTTGACCACACTCCCCTGGAACCATCCACAGGAATCGTGGCTTCAACTACCCCAACACTGCCTACTGCAGCAGACCAGCCTTCCCCGTTTTCTCCTGCTACAGCTGCCTCCCGCTTCTCTCCTGCTACAGCCGTCACCCCCTCCACTCCTGCTACAGCCGGGTCGTCAACCCCGTGCAGGCTGGAAAGAGGGCCTGAACATGGCCCTCGGGTCAACAGCCTGTGCGTCACCTACTGGGGAGCAGCGGGTGGAAAGGGCAAACCAGACGAACCTGTGTGAGTCACCTACTGTTGGTCCACTCCTGCTACAGCCGGCCCCCCTCCACTCCTGCTACCGCCGGCGCTTCAACCCCGTGCAGGCTGGAAAGAGGGCCTGCACATGGCCCTCTGGTATGCAGCCTGCGAGTCATCTGCTGGCCGGCAGCGGGTAGAAAAGGGCAAACAGGAGAAGGAATGCGTGAGTTGAAAGATACATGCCTGCTGCGAGCAACCTCTCCCCCTTCTGGTCAACAGCCTGTGAGTCACCTACTGGGCAACAGTAGATAGACACAATACAACTGGCAAACAAGAAAGAAGGAACTGATAAAAAGTTCGAAGTGTGAGCCTCTGATGGAGGAAGCATGGGTGTGATTAGTCATGGTAGAGAGTAGGTGGTCATGAGACGTTCCCGCTGAAAAAATGTCGTGTGCCATTGTAACAAGGTGACTTTTGAGTCGACTCCAAAGTCATTTCTCATGGCGGAAGCATGGGTCGGATTAGTCATGCTAGAGTAAGTGGTCATAAGAGGTTCCCGCTTTTAAGTGAGGCACTGATGAAAATGCTTGAAGCGGGAGCCTCAACAGAGCCTCATACAGCAGTGGTAAAGAAAAAAGAACCTCTCACCACAGAAGCATGAGTGGGAGATTCAAGCAAAGCAACAACCATGATTCAGGCAGACCTGCATGTGCTAATGCTAACGCTGGCAGAAGTTCCTTTAGTGCTAACTAACGGCATATCTCAGGGTCAACAGACGAATGCAGCGATACACTACCTTGACCTGACAGCAGCACTACCTTAAGCACTGCGAGGTCTGCAGAGGGATGCAGTGCGGTTGACTCAGTGGCAAAGCGGCGACCATCGGGAAGAAGCAGCTGAGAATGAGGGGGAGAAATGGGAGGGATGGAGGGGAGGGGATGGACGGGAAGGAAAGGGAGGGGGGGGGGGGGGGGGGGGGAGGGCTGGTGAGGGGAAAATGGAGCACTGCCAGATGAGCGGAGGGATGCAGTACGCATGAGTTGGTGGCAAAGCGACGACCATCGGGAAGAAGCAGCTGAGAATGAGGGGAGGGATGGGAGCGGAGGGAGGGATGGGACAAGCATTTATGAGCATAAACTATGAAAACAAGTCATGAGGACATAAAAGTTCCACTACATGGGCATTTATAAGGGCGAATTTTGCAATGTACATCATGTGTGCCATGCCATCCCCCACACACATCTATGCGGCAATGTGTGCATGCACGATGCGTGGTGTGGTGAGAAGTAGGGGTACGAGGCAAACATGTGCACACACTTCTGAGGACGTACCTTGCATTCTACACACCATGTATGCCACACCCCACACGCATCTACGTGAGCGTGTGTGCATGCACGATGCGTGGTGCCATGGTAAGCAGTGGGGGTGAGAAGAGAAGCATGAGCAGTGCCACCATCGCATGGCATGGGGCACATGAGTTGAGTACTGTGATGAAGTGAGGAGAGGTTGACGATGCATGCACAATTGGGTGTGGACCAGCATTTGCCTCGGCCTACCGTCACTCTCGCTGCACCATCGACCACACGCGCGTTGGTGAAAATAAACCGACCAGGTCTGTGGGTGATATGACACACATGGCATAAGCACTCTCCCTTACCGTCATTGTTGTTGTAATTTCATATTTTATACAACATACATAGGCTAGAATTAGATGTGTAGCACATTTATAAATTGGGGGGTTGTTTAGTGTACCCTCCAACCACATTTTGTGGTTGGTTGGGATTGGTCCTTAGCTCAACCAATCCCAACCAACACACATTTGTGGTTGCTTGGGCCACAAGCAAGCTCACCCATTGGCCAACTTATTGGCCAATAGGGTAAGCTTCCCTCTCATCTCTCTCTTGCTCATTGTTTGTACTAAAGGGCCTCTTGGCTCATTATTCAATGTATCAATTCTCTTTTTCAACAATTCTCGCGGCATCATCCACCACGTCCGCATTGGTGAGCACCAGCCGCTGAGAACCAGAACGTCCCTATGAGCAATGCGTGTCACATATCCCTCGTTAGCAGTGAATGTCAGAATGTGTGACAGACATCCATTCCCGAACCCCACACAGACAAACATTCCCTCGTCCGCACCCCCCCCTTACCGTCACTCTCGCTGCACCATCCACCACATGAGCATTCGTGAGCACCAGCCGCTGAGTGCTGCTGACGATGAATCCGCTGCCACTGGTGGGTGGCAGGTGGGGGGGGGAGGAGGGGAGGAAGGAGGAAGGGAAGGGCGGCTTTAAGACGTTCTTATGAGAGGTTATTTCCAGTGGTTATACACCAGCCGCTGAGCGCTGCTGACGATGAGCCCACTGCTGCTGGTGGGTGGCGGGGGAGAGGGGGATGGGAGGAGGGGTGGAATAGAGGCAAGAGGAGAGCAGACAATGGGCACATAAAAATGCACGTGTGAAATGAACCTCTGCTGCGTGTGAAGGAAACTGGGCATGCCACGCGACGTGAGCAGACAATGTGCACATAACAATGCACGTGTGAAGGAAACTGGGCATGCCACGCCACGCACGGACGGAATAACCTCTGCTGTCCACGAGGTGACTTGGTTTGACTCAAAAGTCACCAATGAACGAACATGAGCAGCATGCCATGCACGGAATAACGTCCATGAATGCGCGGGCAAACTCCATTGAATGTGTGGCGGAATAACGTCCGCCGTGTATGCATTTACCGAGGCTTAGTCGACGGTTGATACAAACCGTAACATCCTCAGGTACGGAAACAGAAACATCCCTGCCTGTAATGGTGTTCTGGAACACAGTGAGCATGAAACGGAGCAAAGTGGATCGTAAGCAGCAAAAAAGCTCACACACTAGTTTCTGTCTTGGTATTCTGAAAACCCCGAGGCCTCGGGGGGCTTCTCCTTGGCCTCGGGGGGCTTCTCCTTGGCCTCGGGGGGCTTCTCCTTGGCCTTCGCCTTGGCCTCCATCCTGCCCCTCTCCTTGAGTCTGCGCAGCCACGCCCCCACTCGAGGCTTGTGCATGCAGTGGGTGACAACAACACTGGTGAAAGTCAAGCGCAGCAAAGTGGACTCCAGTAAGGCTCACACACTAGTTTCTGTGTACGCTTCGGGTGCGGGTGCCTTGGCCTTTGCCTTGGCCTCCACCCTCGCCCTCTCCTTGAGTCTGCGCAGCCATGCCCCCACTCGAGGCTTGTGCGGCCACGAGGATGCCAGGCGAGTGCTGCCATCATTGACGCGGCTGCCGGTGCATGGCATCGGATAGGATCTCGCCAGGAACATCTCGTCGTCTGCAGGAATATGAATGCATGGAGTGGGTTGGTTGCATTGCAGGGGAAGTTGGACGTGAGGAGTATAGAATCGGATCGGATCGGATCGGATCACGCCAGGAACAGCGATGGAATGGGTTGGTTGCAGTGCTCGTTGAGCGTGAGGGTGGAGGGAAAGCGATGTGAGAAGGTGTGAAATGGGGGAAGCAAGGGCAACAACGCAACGAGGGAGAGCAAGAGCGAACAGTAGGTATGGGAGGGCATGGGTCACCGGGCGAGGAAACAGGAGATGGCATGTGTCCACGATGTAACCATGCTCGCACAGCCATACTGCCCAGACAGGCGCATGCAAACCCGAACCCACCTTGTCAGAACCCCTAACCATTCTCTCGGAACTCATCCCCCTCCCCATCATCCATCCGAACTCATCCCCCTCCCCATCATCCATGCCGCTGCTGGCCTGCCCCTCTGCCTCCTCGCCTTTGCCCTCCTCGATTTTTCTCAAGGATGCTTGCAAAGCCATACTGCTGTGCTCACCCGAACCCACCTGTCTCCCTGAAATCCTCCCCCTCTCCACTATCCACACTGCCACTGTTGCTTTTGAGAATTCTCAAAAGATTCGCTGTGCAAATCCCAACCCACCTTGTCAGAATCTTTAACCCACCCCACCTTGTCAGAATCTCTAACCCACCAGTCTCTCTGAACTCATCCCCCTCTCCGCCATCCACACTGTCGCTGCTGCCCTGCCCCTCTGCCTCCTCGCTTCTGCCCTCCTCGCTCTCTCTCAAGGTGGCTTGTGGGGATGCCCGCGGAAGGTGCCTGGAAGCAGGAGAGAGACACACAGGCGAGAGTCCAGACGAGTGGCGGGTACAAGGCGTGTCACAAGTCGAGTACGGCAGCATGCGAGTGCGTTACTTTGCAGGGGCCTGAAAAAAGGATGCTCATGCTTAACAATCAGTGAGGGCTTTAAGGAGGCTCTTTAAATGTGAATATCGCTCTTTAAATGTGAATATCACTCTTTAAATGTGAATATCGCTCTTTAAATGTGAATATCGCTCTTTAAATGCGAATATCAACGCCCTGTGAACCACCTCCTGTACACAGCAGGCCCCTGGAAACCATGTGTTTTTGGTTCCACTCAAGACTACCTTGAGATTTATTAGTCGAAAGGAAGAATCAGAGCAGCAGATCATACCTTTCCACCTCTAGTTGAACGACAGCTGGCGCAACGCGATTGGCTGCAAGCCGAACAAAAGCATTGGCCTTATGCCTCCTGCCCTGCTTGTTTCCAAGGGCTCCCACTCGGCTAGCTTGGACTGTAGCTGACGAATCAACTGAAGCTGAAGATTCAACTGAAGTTGAAGATGCAACTGTAACTGTAGCTGCTACTGCTGGTGCTGCTCTCACTCCCATGGCTGCAGCACCCATCAGGAACAGACTAGACAGCAGCAGCGCTCGCACTCCGCCCCTCAGGAGTTTGCTGACATGGGAGATAGCAGCAGCGATGCCGCCGCGACGGGAAAGAGCAGTGGGAGCAATGCGGCTGACGACGGTGACTTGAATGGGCGAAACAAGCAGCGCCACCAGTGGCAGCAGCGGAAGCAGGGCAAGCAGAGGACGCAGAGGAAGCAGAGGAAGGTCAAGCGAGGGGGAGACGAGTGTCCGAGGCTCGAGCAGAGGCTCGGACCAAACCACTGTGACAGGCTTGGGCAGGGGAGGCTCGGGCGAGGACGGCTCAAGTGGGGCACTGGAGCCCAGCCTCCGCTGTTGGAGCAACCAAGTGAACGCGTGTGGAAGGGCGGAGAGGAAAGCGGAGAGGAGGGCGGAGGGGAAGGCGGAAATGGGACCCCCATCCCCCTGTGCGAGCGAGAGAGGTGTCAGGAGTGGAGAGGAGTGCAAGGCGGTGGTGCGTGCTTGTTGTGTGAGCAGGCGTGTGCATGGACATGGTCGGTTCAGGGACGGATGGAAGGGTGCAGGGAGGCATGGGCGGGCGAGGAGCAGGGAGGCGGAACGAGGCGGCGGAAAGCAGCTGGAAGGACGGGAAGGACGAGGCCGCTCTGAGGGTCGGACGGTTTCTGGCCCTCTATTGTAGAACCTGCTATGGACTCGAGGTGCCTTGCGAAGGGACTCGGGAGCAACCCGTCGAGTCTTGGACGCGTGAATTGTGCCTGATCCGAGCGCTGCGTGAGAAGCCATTCACGTTGATATGCGCATGCAAGCGCGCGCGCTTGCGATGCGTGATGGACGTGCAATCCGTGCGAGACGCATCCGGCGGCACTGCGGCGCCGACGCTTCTGTACTCGCCTACACGCCGTAGAATCTGTCTGAGGAGCGGCGACAACGAATTAAGATAACCTGCTTCTTTCTTTCTTTCTTAATTCTGGCTTCTAGCTGCGCTGGAGCATCTTAGTCCTTGCGAGAGGGGGCCGTCCTAGGGGCTTCTTTTTGCGCTCGCCTCAAGGTCTAACGTATCTCAGCTGATCAATCAACATCAGGAATTCATCTGAGGCGTCCATTGATATCCCGAGAGAACAAATTTTTTCCTTCCCTTCAAATCTGCTAATCTAATCAAGCAGCAGACGGACGAATTTCCGTCAGTTGAATTCGTGGAAACGATACTTTTATTTACCTGCGAGATTGAGGCTCTTGGTTACCTGACATTCACGACGTAGTTTTAGGCTTTTCGACGAAGATCGAAAGAAGGCGACAAAACTCTTCCCTGTTACGGGCTTTCCCCAAACCCTAACTGGAGATGCTTTTGTTCGCAAAATCCTTTCGCGAGCATCACCTTCGGGTCAGCGGTAAAAACCCGAAGGCTAGTAAAAACCCCGATACTGCACGTCACAACAAGGCCTAGCAGGCAAGGAGCAGGCAAGTTGTGGGGAAGAGAAACATGCCAAGGCATTGTTTCGTTCCCGAGTTTCGAAGCTTTGACTGAAGTCGGAGGTTACTGATTTTTGGTCGGAGATATTCCTGCATTCGTAGGTCAGAGACACCCTCAGCCTCAGCAAGAGCTTTACTGCGAACGAACGGATAGTCTTCTTGGTAAGGGTGCCCCTCAGCCTTAGCAAGAGCTCTAATCTTGCAACCGTCCGATTCAAGGCACCGAGAACCAGCCTTTTCTTTAGTTAGAGTCTGAATAACCTCCATTGACGGACACACCGACAATCAACCTCGATCGACTCGCAGCACCCCGCGCTTCGCCGGTTTAGCGATTTTGGCCTCTAAATTGTCGGTAGCTCCGCGATGTCTTATTGCAGCTAGCTGACAGCTCGAGCCACGACTTAAAGGCAACTGTTCGTAGGCCGGTGGTAGCTACGAAGTAGCTACGAGGTAGTTACGAGGCAGTTACGAGGTAGTTACAAGGTAGCTGCGAGGTATTCACGATTGTTCCGTTTCAAGCTATCCGTTCCTGAGAGACTTTGCGATGGCGCTCGAAGCGCCTCCGTTGTTCTCGTCGAAATTCCTTCAGAAAGCAAGAAAATCTAAAAAGGCCGCAGCCGGATTGGACTGCGAGGCCGACGCGAAGTTAATACAAGATCGGTTACCAGCAGCAGGCCCGGGTACTGTTCGCACGGGTCGTGGCGATAAGAAACGGAAAGCAGGGGGGGTTAACGATACGGATAAGGCAAAGGCTGGTCGCCGAGAAATTCCTTCTTCAGGTTCGCGTAAAAAGGCATCGGGTGTAGCTACGTGGACCGCGCTGAGGGTTCAAGGTGTAGGGTTTAAGGGGGAGAGGGGAGCTGGAGAGGAGGATGGTTTCAGAGAAGGCGGGGTTTTGCGCGGAGGCGAGGAGGCGCGGAGGGGTGTTTGCGGTGCTGACGTGGACGAGAGTGGCCGTACACATGGCGACGTCAGGGGCGGTGAGGAGGCAGGTGACGTCAGCAGAGATGGCGTGGAGGCGGGGGAGCCAATGGGGGAGAAGGGGCGCGGGGGACGGCGGAAGCGGATGGGCGGGGGGAAGCGGGGGAAGGCGGGGGTTGGTGGAGAGGCGGATGGGGAGAGGGAGGAGGGGGAGGAGGATGGAGAGGACGGAGAGGAGGGAGGAGGAGGGGAAGAGGGGGAAGTGGAAGAGGAAGGGGAAGAGGAGATGGATGATGGTAGTGAAGGGGACGAGGAGGAGGGAGAGGGGAGGGAGGAGAAAGCAGAGGACGGCGGAACAGAGGAGGATGACGCAGCAGCATCTGCGCTCCTTGCAAAGGCTGACGTGTCCCTCACAGCGACTGCCACGTGTGACTCCTTTGCTGACCTGGCACTGGCGCCGTGGCTGGTCGCCACGTGTCATGAGATGGGTCTGCGCCATCCCACCCCAGTGCAGTGTGCATGCATCCCCCCCGTCGTTGCGGGGAGCAACGTCATTGGGGTGGCGCAGACGGGAAGTGGCAAGACTGCTGCTTTCGCCCTGCCCATTCTCCAGGTAATGTTCTTCACTCTGAAACCCCAAGCATTAAACCCTGAGCCTCACTGCAGTGTGCGTGCATCCCCCCTGTCGGTGCGGGTAGCAACGTGATCGGGGTGGCTCAGACAGGATTCGGCAAGACTGCCGCCTTCGCCCTGCCGATTCTCCAGGTGGGCTCCTCAACCTTAAACCCTAGGCCCCGAACCCGAAGGCCCAGTGCAGTGTGCGTGCATCCCACCTGTCATCGCTGGCAGCAACGTGATTGGTGTGGCTCAGACCGGCAGTGGGGAAACGGCTGCCTTCGCCCTGCCAATTCTTCAAGTGAGTACTTCAGTTTAAAACCCTAAAACCCGAACCTTAAGCTTCAAACCCTGAGTCTCAGTGCAGTGTGCGTGCATCCCCCCTGTCGTTGCGGGGAGCAACGTCATCGGGGTGGCTCAAACGGGAAGTGGCAAGACGGCCGCCTTCGCTCTGCCCATTCTTCCGGTGGGTTGTTGACGCTCAAACCTTAAGCCTGAAACCCTGAACCCAAGTGCAGCGTGCAGTGTGCGTGCATTCCCCCTGTCACCACGGGTAGCAACGTGATTGGGAGCTCAGAAAGGAAGCGGCAGGACTGCTGCTCGTCCTCTCGATTCCCCAGGTGGTTACTTCACTCTGAAACCCCAAGCCGAAGCCCTGGTATGGTGTGTTTGTGATGGAAATAACCCTTCTCCTTCCCTCCTCCCGGCCCCCCCTTCCTCCCTCCTCCCTCGCGTTGCATTCGTTCCCTCCCTATGGTCACCCGTACCTGTCCACTCACTAACCCCCTCGCTCCCTTGCAGAAGCCAGCAAAGGATCCACCAGTTCCGGCACCCCTTCCTCTCCTCTCCCCATCCACTCTTCCTTCCCTCTGCACCGCTCCACCCGCCCGGCTTTCCTTGTGCAGGAACTTGCAGAGGACCCCTTGTTCGCGCTCGTGCTCACCCCCACCAGGGAGCTCGCTCTGCAAATCGCCCACCAATTCAGGGACCCTCTTCCCCTCCCCACCCTTTCTTCCCTCCTGCGCCCCTCCACCTGCCCTACCCTCACCTGTGCAGAAGCTAGCCGAGGACCCCTATGGGGTCTTTGCGCTCGTCCTCACCCCCACCAGGGAGCTTGCCCTGCAGATCGCGGACCAGTTCAGGGCTCTGTTTGCCCCCAGCGCACACGCGTCCTCTCCCTCCCCCTTTACCTGCCCATCCCCGCGCCCCTCCTGCAGAAGCTAGCGGAGGATCCCTATGGCGTCTTCGCCCTGGTCCTGACACCCACCAGGGACCTCGCGCTGCACATACCTCCCCTCTCCGCTTACCTGCTCCCGTCCGCCTGCCATCCGCCCACCCACCTGTGCAGAAGCTAGCAGAGGACCCCTATGGCGTGTTCGCGCTGGTCCTGACGCCCACCAGGGAGCTGGCTCTGCAAATTGCAGACCAGCTCCGGGCTCCACTTTCCTCACCACGTGCATTCCCTCCTTCCTCTACACTTACCTGCGCCTGTCTTCCACCTGCCTGCAGAAGCTAGCGGAGGACCCATATGGCGCCTTCGCCCTAGTCCTGACCCCCAACAGGGAGCTGGCTCTTCAGATCGCTGACCAGTTCAACAACCCCTTTTTCCCTCCTCACCCGCTTCCCTTCCCTCTGCACCCTTCGACCCGCTCTGCCTTGAACTCTGCAGAAGCTAGCAGAGGACCCTTATGGCGTCTTCGCCCTGGTGCTCACCCCCACCAGGGAGCTCGCTCTGCAGATCGCCGACCAGTTCCGGGCTCTGGGCTCGTCGCTCTCTCTGCGCTGCGCTATTGCCATTGGGGGGGGTGACATGGTGGAGCAGGTGAGAGAGAAAAGGGAATGGATTTGGATTCGATTTGCGCTGGTTTTCTTCTGTGGTCCTACCACCAACCGACCGACCAGTTCCAGGCTCTAGCCTGGGGTCGTCCCTCTTGTTGCGCTGCGTTATCGCTATTGGTGGGAGAGACATGGTAGAGCAGGTGAGAAGGGGTGACTTGGGTTTGGGCTGGGTGTCTGTAATACTACCAACAAACTGACCAGTCCCTCTCGCTGCGCTATGTCTTTGCCATTGGGTGGGTCTTGCTGGAGCAGGTGAGAGCTCAGTGCACACATACACACATCATGGGGGGTAGTGGGTGCGGTTTTTCTAAAAGGGATACGGCCACATGCCATTACACACGCAGCATGTATTTGCGAATTCAACTCTCTCTTCTCGCCTTCCCTTATCACCTGCTCCTCTCGTGCCCCTCTCTCACCTTCTCCTCTCACCCGCTCCTCTCTCCTCCCTCTTTCCTCGCATGCCCCTTAGGCCATGCAACTGGCGGCCCGGCCCGGCCGCACGTGGTGGTGGCAACGCCGGGGCGATTGAGGGAGATGCTGCAGCAGGAGGCGAGCATGGAGCGAATTTTCAGCAACCTGCAGGTGGGTGGTGTGGTGTGGTGTGGTGTGGTGTGGTGTGGTGTGGTGTGGTGTGGTGTGGTGTGGTGTGGGCGAGAACCAACCAGCTTTGTGTAGTGCGCATAACAAGGCCGTACGCGCTATGTTGGAATATACGCTCAGACCCTAAAGCGTCTAGCGTTTACACGCTTGCGTTTATACTCAAAACGCTATACGCCTACTCATACGCTATACGCTGTCAGATTTTTTTTGGGCTGCCCGAGAAAAAAAATTGTGCATACGGAAAGATGCGGAATCTCCTGGTGAGCATTTCGCCGAAGTCGCGATGCATTTCGGTGGTCTAGGGAAGCGGGAATATGCCTTCAAAGTTATCAGTCACGTCTGGCAGTTCAGATCTACAATTTCAATTAGTACCGCATTGAAACCCTTCCCATCTAGGAACTCCAACCTGTCAATTGTTCCCCCAACAAACCCCACTCACGCTACTTACCAGCCAGCACAACTTCACTCGTCATTTCTAGGTTTCTTTCCTGCTTCCAACAGAAGTCATTCCGATTCCTACTCCTAGCGAAGATGTTTACTACACATCCCACCCCAATCGCCGTTCAGATTTAGGAAAATGCTACGAAAATCTTAGTTAGAATAGGGAATACCTTCCCGATGTTGAGCACGACGGTTTTTCACCCTACCCGGGAAAAGTTTTCCCCTGCCCGAAAAAGCGTATGTCCAAACTGACCCCTGAGCGTATAGCGTATACACGATAGCGTATATACGACACGCGTATATACGACACGCGTATATACACTAAACGCGTATATTCCAACATAGCGTACGCGCAATTGGCAACGCCAGGGCGACTGAGGGAGATGCTGGAGCAGGAGGAGAGCATGGGGCGAATCTTCAGCAACCTGCAGGTGGGTGGGTGCAGAAGTTACTAGTATGGTTGGTACGCATGTAAGGGACAGGGTTTAGGGGACGAGGACGAGGCGGGTCGCCTCTTGGGTCGAGGATTCGAGGAGGAGATAGCATAGCGGCGATTCTAATCAAAACCCCTCCCCCCCGCCCACTTCCCTTCCCCTCTCCCGCTCTCCCCTCCCCAGTTTCTGGTTCGGGACAAGGCCGATCGCCTCTTGGATCGAGGCTTCGAGGAGGAGATAGCGGAGATTCTGTTGCTCCGTCTTCTGCTTAACTTGCGTCCCCTCCCAGCCCTCCCTTCAGTTCTTGGTTCTGGACCAGGCTGATCGACTCCTGGACCGCGGATTTGACAAGGAGATAGCGGCGATTATGTTCAACACCCTGCCCCCCTCCTTCACTGCCTCCCCCACATCTGAGTCTCGTTTTTTCCCCCTCCCTCTCTCTCCTCCCGCCAGTTCTTGGTGTTGGACGACGCGGATCGCCTATTAAATCGCGGATTCGAGAAGAAGATGGGGGCGGTTCTGTTTCCCCTCCTCCCCACCTTCTCCTCTCCTCCTCTCCCCTCCGCAGTTCCTGGTGTTGGACGAGGCCGATCGCCTATTGGACAGAGGCTTCGAGGAGGAGATAGGGGCGATTCTGGCGAGGATGCCGAAAGAGAGGCAGACGCTGCTCTTCTCAGCCACTTTCACTGCCAACCTGCACGCCTTGAAGGTGAGTGGCACGGCTCAAGACGGGTGGCACGGCTCAAGATGGGTGGCACGGCTCAAGATGGGTGGCACGGCTCAAGATGGGTGGCACGGCTCAAGGTGGGTGGCACGGCTCAAGGTGGGTGGCACGGCTCAAGATGGGTGCCACGGCTCAAGATGGGTGCCACGGCTCAAGGTGGGTGGCACGGCTCAAGGTGGGTGGCAGGGCTCAAAGGTGATTGGATTGGATGGTCAAGGCAGAAGGTAGGACTTGGTTGTTGGGGGGGTGTTTGGGAGGAAAGGCGCTGCTCTTGTCTGCCACCTTCACTGCCAACCTGCACGCCTTGAAGGTGAGTGTGGCATGGCTACAGGTAGGGATTCGAGGAGGAGATAGGGGCGATTCTGGCGAGGATGCTGAAGGAGAGGCAGGCGCTGCTCTTGTCTGCCACCTTCACTGCCAACCTGCACGCCTTGAAGGTGAGTGTGGCATGGCTACAGGTAGGGATTCGAGGAGGAGATAGGGGCGATTCTGGCGAGGATGCTGAAGGAGAGGCAGGCGCTGCTCTTGTCTGCCACCTTCACTGCCAACCTGCACGCCTTGAAGGTGAGTGTGGCATGGCTACAGGTAGGGATTCGAGGAGGAGATAGGGGCGATTCTGGCGAGGATGCTGAAGGAGAGGCAGGCGCTGCTCTTGTCTGCCACCTTCACTGCCAACCTGCACGCCTTGAAGGTGAGTGTGGCATGGCTACAGGTAGGGATTCGAGGAGGAGATAGGGGCGATTCTGGCGAGGATGCTGAAGGAGAGGCAGGCGCTGCTCTTGTCTGCCACCTTCACTGCCAACCTGCACGCCTTGAAGGTGAGTGTGGCATGGCTACAGGTAGGGATTCGAGGAGGAGATAGGGGCGATTCTGGCGAGGATGCTGAAGGAGAGGCAGGCGCTGCTCTTGTCTGCCACCTTCACTGCCAACCTGCACGCCTTGAAGGTGAGTGTGGCATGGCTACAGGTAGGGATTCGAGGAGGAGATAGGGGCGATTCTGGCGAGGATGCTGAAGGAGAGGCAGGCGCTGCTCTTGTCTGCCACCTTCACTGCCAACCTGCACGCCTTGAAGGTGAGTGTGGCATGGCTACAGGTAGGGATTCGAGGAGGAGATAGGGGCGATTCTGGCGAGGATGCTGAAGGAGAGGCAGGCGCTGCTCTTGTCTGCCACCTTCACTGCCAACCTGCACGCCTTGAAGGTGAATGGCACGGCTCAATGTGGGTGTTGCATGTGCCACGCCCTCAAGCTGTGCAGTTATTTACGTTCGTAAGCCATGCCCCATGCCCCGTGCCCCATGCCCCATGCCCCATGCCCCATGCCCCATGCCCCATGCCCCATGCCCCATGCCCCATGCCCCATGCCCCATGCCTCATGCCCCATGCCCCATGCCTCATGCCCCATGCCTCATGCCCCATGCCTCATGCCCCATGCCCCATGCCTCATGCCCCATGCCCCATGCCCCATGCCCCATGCCTCATGCCTCATGCCCCATGCCCCATGCCTCATGCCCCATGCCTCATGCCCCATGCCCCATGCCTCATGCCCCATGCCCCATGCCTCATGCCCCATGCCTCATGCCCTTACATGCCCACAGGCCATGAGCAAAACGAAGAAGCTGTTTCACTTTGACGCCTACGAGGGCTTTAAGACGGTCGAGGCCCTGGATCAAACGTACCTCTACCTGATAACCTATCCTCCCTTCCCTCCTGATGAGAACCCATCCCGTGTCCATTACTCATGCCGTTTTCCCCGTATTCCCCGTGTGTGTGCGCTGTACCCCCTACTCATTGGCAGGCTATGAGCAAAACGAAGAAGCTGTTCCATTTCGAAGCATACGAGGGCTTTAAGACAGTGGAAGCGTTAGACCAGACATACCTCTTCCTGCCCTCCAACGTGCGGGACGTCTACCTCTGCCGCCTCCTCTCCCGCCTCCTCCCCTCCCTCCAAACCATCCTCCCCCCTGCACCGCCCCCCTCCGCCTCTGCTGCCGCCCGCCCGCCTGTGCGCTCGGTGATCGTGTTCACCTCGTCCTGCCAGTAAGCTTTGCAGAAGGGGGGGGGGGGGTTATTAAGGGTGGGAAAGCATGGGTTGGGGAAACGAGAGATGGGAGTGGTACCAGGGGTTCCGATCTAGCTTCCCCCATCACCCTGTATGCTCTGTGATCGGCAGAGGTGGTACTTCTTCGCTTTGTCGTGCCATTAGGCGAAGCAGGTCTATCCCATGCGCCTCTCCACGCCCTGCTCCCTCGACGCTCGGCCTCCCTGCACCGCTTCAAGGCTTCTCAGCACACTCTGCTTCCCCCTCTTTTCCCCTTCCTCTCACCCACCCCCCATGTGTCAGGTCATGCAAGGCCGTCAGCGCATTGCTGGACCAAGTGTGTCTCTCCACACCCTGCTCCCCCATCTCTCCCAAAATTCTCACTCCTCGTCCTGCCAGGCCCTGAGTGCACTGCTAGACGAGGTGGGTCTCTCCAACGCGCCTCTCCACGCCTTCCTTCCTCATCGCAAGCGCTCAGCCGCTCTGCACCGCTTCAACGCCCTTCGACGCTCTGCCTCTCCCCCTGTTCTCCTCCACTCACCCACCCCCCCTCTCTCAGATCCTGCCAGGCCGTGAGTGCACTGGTGGGCAATGTAGATCGTGGACAATGTCAACGCGCTCCTTCACGCTCTGCTCCCCTAACGCAAGCGCTCAGTCGCTCTGCACCGCTGCAAGGCTCCTCAAATCCCCACTCCTCCTCTCCGTCCGCCTTGCCCCCATCCCATTTCTCCCAGATCATGCCAGGCTGTCAGTGCACTGCTGGACGAGATGGGTCTCTCCAACGCCCCTCTACACGCCCTCCTCCCCCATCTGTCTCAAAATTCCCATTCATTTTCCCGCACTCCCCTCCCAGATCATGCCAGGCTGTCAGCGCACTACTGGACGAAGTGGGTCTCTCCAACGCGCCTCTGCACGCGCTGCTCCCCCAGCGCAAACGATCAGCTGCTCTACACCGCTTCAAAGCCCCTCAACACTCTCACTGCTTCGTTTCTTCCCCCTTCTCCCCGTTCAGGTCCTGCCAGGCCGTGAGTGCTCTGCTATATGAAGTGGGTCTCTCCAACGCGCCTCCCCACGCCCTGCTCCCCCGGCGCAAGCGCTCAGCCGCTCTTCACTGCCTCAATTTCCCCCTCCTCTCGCCCACCCTCATGTATCAGGTCATGCCAGGCCGTGAGTGCTCTGCTGGACGAGGTGGGTCTCTCCAACGCGCCCCTGCACGCCCTGCTCCCGCAGCGGAAGCGCTCAGCCGCTCTGCACCGCTTCAAGGCATCCCAAGTGCCCATCCTGGTGGCCACAGACGTCGCCAGCAGGGGGCTCGATATTCCGACTGTGGACCTGGTTATCAACTACGACATCCCCAGGTGAGTCCACTCATCACACATCACTTCAGTCGTACCCACATCAGTGCATGTCAAGGCGTCCCAAGTGCCCATCCTGGTGGCCACAGACGTCGCCAGCAGGGGGCTCGATATTCCGACTGTGGACCTGGTTATCAACTACGACATCCCCAGGTGAGTCCACTCATCACACATCACTTCAGTCGTACCCACATCAGTGCATGTCAAGGCGTCCCAAGTGCCCATCCTGGTGGCCACAGACGTCGCCAGCAGGGGGCTCGATATTCCGACTGTGGACCTGGTTATCAACTACGACATCCCCAGGTGAGTCCACTCATCACACATCACTTCAGTCGTACCCACATCAGTGCATGTCAAGGCGTCCCAAGTGCCCATCCTGGTGGCCACTGACGTCGCCAGCAGAGGGCTGGACATTCCGACTGTGGATTTAGTGATAAACTACGACATCCCCAGGTGCGCACTGTGCTGGTCTGTCACTCCACATTCTAACAGGGCGGGCACACGATTTGCCATCTCAAGAGCTGATTCTGGTGGCCACTGCCATCGTCAGTATAGGGCTGGACCTCCTGACAGTGGATTTAGCGGTTAGCTATGTCATTCCCAGGTGATCAGTGCTCTGGTTTGTTGCTCCAGATCTTCCAGTTTGCTGACACTCCTTATGTCAAGGCGTCCCAAGTGTTAGAATACCATCCTCACTTGTAACCTGCATCTATCCTATAAGCTTCGGCTAGAGGTAGACACCCAAATGTAGTTTGGGTGTAGAACTAGGGCTAAGCCTAGTTGGGGGTTGGAACTCAACACTTGGCCCAATTATTTGGCCCCCAAGGTTGGGTTGGGAATTATTGGCCCCCCCAATAATGTTGAACCACTTTTGGTCAACATTATTGGTCCCCCCAATTATTCCTCAACCCAACTTATTGGTGGGGGCCAATAATGTTGGCTAGGTTCCCAACCAAACCCTCCCTCCTAGCACAACTATGTATACCCCTTCCATTCCTAATATCATTATCGGTTCTTCTTCATCTTTTCTCACACCAAGTGCCCATCCTGGTGGCCACTGCCGTTGCCAGCAGAGGGCTGGATATCTAGTCAAACCAAAAGTTGCCTTCCCATATGTTTCTTTCCTTGCATCCCAATCCCTAGGTTCACACGAGAATAAGTGCACAGGGTGGGGCAAACGGCCAGAGCAGAGAGGGGCGGGCAAGAGTCACATCTGAGTTGCCTTGGCCTTTCAATCTCCTCTCCAACATGGTCATTCAATACCCTGTAACACAACCCTCGGGCTCACTCCGGTCTATGTACACAGGGTGGGGTGAACAGCCCAAGAAGGGAGGGTCTTCATGCGATGCTTCAAGAAACTCCCTATCCCCCAACCTATCCTCTCTGCTGTCAAGAGAGGACAGGTGGGCTGCAAAGGCCTTACTTCCATCAATCTCGTGTTGTACTAGACCAACGAAACAAGAAGGGAGGGTCTTCATGCGATGCTTCAAGAAACTCCCTATCCCCCAACCTATCCTCTCTGCTCCTACCCGGTCATTCCCTACCCTGTCCCACCTCCCCCCACCCCCATCTCCAGGTTCACCCGGGACTATGTGCACAGGGTGGGGCGAACAGCCCGAGCAGGGAGGGGCGGACTCGTGAGACGCCAAATGAAACTTTGTACCCCTCTCACACTACCCTGTCACCCCACCCCCCATCCCACCGCTCAGGTTCACTCGGGACTATGTGCACAGGGTGGGGCGAACAGCCCGAGCAGGGAGGGGCGGACGAGCCATCAGTCTGGTGACTCAGGTGGGAGTGTCTCTAACGAATGGAAAGGATGCTGTGACTATTGACAGGGTGGGAGCAGTGACTTAGGTAAGTGTGACTGTAACGATTGCTGTTGTGTTGTGAGCACCATGTGATACGGCACGTAGTATTTGGGGCGACAGCAATCGCAAGAGATGCATTGGGGCCGTTACAACCCTGCCTGCTTTTTAGCACTTCTCATTTCGTCTCCCTCCCTCCGTCCCTCCCTCCGTCCCTCCGTCCCTCCCTCCCTCCCTCCCTCCCTCCCTCCCTCCTTCCCTCCCTCCCTCCCTCCCTCCCTCCCTCCCTCCCTCCCTCCCTCCCTCCCTCCCTCATTCACTCATTCGCTCCCTCCCTCATTCACCCACTCGCTCCCTCCCTCCCTCCCTCCCTCCCTCCCTCATTCACGCACTCCCTCCCTCATTCACTCACTCCCTTACTCACTCACTCGCTCCCTCACTCCCTCCTTCGCTCCCTTCCCCCCTCTCCTCTATCTTTTTTCCCATGGCAGTACGACGTGCATCTGGTGCACAGCATTGAGAAGCTCATAAGCTGACAGCTGGCGGAGCGCACTGATGTGTGTGTGTGTGCAGTACAGAGAGGGAGGGCTGAGCTGATGAACACTGTGTATCCTTACTACCCTCTCTCCACTCCATACCATCCCTCCCCCCGCAGTACGACGTGCACCTGGTGCACAGCATTGAGAAGCTCATTGGTCGACAGCTGGCGGAGTGCACTGATGTGACTGAAAGCGATGTGCTTAAATGCATCAGCAAGGTGAGGAGGAAGGAGTGTGTCAGCCTGAGCAAGGGGAGATGGCTATTGTCGTGTGGATTCTCTCTGTTCGTGCGTGCCTGCTTGCATGCCTTTCTCTCACTGCCGCTGGTCCATGGAAGGCTCGTACAGGTTTATAAGATTTTTATTTTACTTCTTCTTTTATTTTCGCATTCTTGTCATTGTTTCTCTTCTTTTTTTCCCCAGGTGTTCAAGGCACGGAGGGCAGCGCTGCTGAAGGTGTCAGAGAGTGGGTTTGAGGAGCGGGCAAAGCAGAGGGCTGAGCAGAAGCGGAAGATTCGGGAGGAGCGAAGAGAGCGGGAGGGGGGTGAGAAGGGCAAGAAAGGCAAGTGAGGAAAGGTGGTTGTGGGGAGATCAGTGTTGTTGCAGTTGGCAGAGAGAGGGTTTGAGGAGCGGATTGAGTAGAGGGCAGAGCACAAGCGGAAGATTCGGGAGGAGCGAAGAGAGCGAGAGAGGGTGGGAAAGGCATGAAAGACAAATGAGGGAGGTGCTGGAGGGAAGAGAAGCGTTTCTTAAAACCGAAATGCAAAATAGTGAACCCAAACCCAACTTGAAAGAGCGCAGGGACGAGTTTGCCGGTCGAAACAAATTTTGGACCGGACTGACAAGTTTGTACCGTTTCAAACGTTGCGGACGTGCAAATCGAACACCTTTGATTGGTTCCCGCCAAAATTGAAACATTCTCCTCGAGTGTGGCGTCGCATTTCTCATTGCTAAGCCCGCACGACAATTGCATAGGCGATCGTTTCAGTCTGTCCAAGCGATTTGGGCCCAGCTTATGTTTGAAGTTGGGATGGGGTGAACTACTACCAATTTTGCGTCGGAAGTTATAAGTAGCTAGGCTAGGCATAGGCTATGTCTGGACTTAGGCCCTCGTTATCTAGACATGTATTAATCAGAATGTCCGTCGTGTTCTATCCGAGAGCTACGAGTGTAAGCTTTTCAGTCCGTCCCTATGCGCCCGCGTTTTTCCGTCCTGTCGCCACCGCGATCTCCTCTCGCCTCCCTTACCCACGTGATCACTTCTCCTGCCCCATAGCCCTCCTGTTCCCCCGTCCAGTCACCCGCCCATTCTGCCGTCCCGTCGTCCTCCCGTTCCGTCGCGATCGTCGTCGCCCTTCCGTGGCTCTCCCGTTGCCTTCCCATCGCCCATCCCATCGCCCATCCCATCGCCCATCCCGTCCCCCATACCGTCGCCCATCCCGTCGCCCATCCCGTCGCGCATCCCGTCGCCCATCCCGTCCGTCCCCTCGTCGCCCACGCCAACGCCCCGAAACTCCCTCCCGTCGCCCTTCCTCTCTCCCATCCCGTCGCTCCCCTCGTCGCCCTCGCACACGCCCCGGAACTCCCTCCCGTCGCCCTTCCTCTCTCCCATCCCGTCCCTCCCCTCGTCGCCCTCGCCAACGCCCCGAAACTCCCTCCCGTCGCCCTTTCTCTCTCCCATCCCGTCCCTCCCCTCGTCGCCCCCGCACACGCTCCGGAACTCCCTCCCGTCGCCCTTCCTCTCTCCCATCCCGTCCCTCCCCTCGTCGCCCTCGCCAACGCCCCGAAACTCCCTCCCGTCACCCTTCCTCTCTCCCATCCCGTCGCTCCCCTCGTCGCCCTTGCACACGCCCCGACACTCCCTCCCGTCGCCCTTCCTCTCTCCCATCCCGTCCCTCCCCTCGTCGCCCTCGCCAACGCCCCGAAACTCCCTCCCGTCACCCTTCCTCTCTCCCATCCCGTCGCTCCCCTCGTCGCCCTCGCCAACGCCCCAAAACTCCCTCCCGTCGCCCTTCCTCTCTCCCATCCAGTCCCTCCCCTCGTCGCCCTCGCCAACGCCCCGAAACTCCCTCCCGTCGCCCTTCCTCTCTCCCATCCCGTCGCTCCCCTCGTCGCCCTCGCACACGCCCCGAAACTCCCCATTGTCGTCCTTCCTCTCTCCTATCCCATCACTCCCTCCCGTCGCCTTTACATCTCTCCCCTCCCATCTCCCGCATCGTCACCCTCGCGCTCGGAAATCCAAGTGAACTGGATGCGACAGTTTCGTATGTGCTCGCTCAACATTGATCACACTCATTCAGTGAGGGATCCAAAAGAAAAAACCACAACACTTCCAATCCAACCGTCAAAAACATTACAAAATAAGTTTGAGACTTTCAAGTGGACCCAACTAGAAGGGGGGGGGGTCACTATTTTGCATACGGGCTTTAAGGTGTCAGAGAGTGAGTTTGAGGATCGAGCGAAGCAGAGAAGAAGAGGAAGACCCGGGAGGAGCGGAGGGACCAAGAGGGGTGGAATTGCGAAGTAGAGGAGATGGTTCATGGATTTGAGGCAATCTATGGGGAGGGGTTGAGGAGAGGGAAAAAGCAGATGACGGAGGCGAATGCGGGAAGCATTAGAGAAAGGTTTGTACTGTGATGTACGATACATCAAATCGTCCATCCTTGAGAAGGGTGTGATCATCAGGCCAGGCCATAGTGTGGAGGTTTTGAAGTTTGGTATCTGCATCTTTCCGAAGTTCCTTACGATACACACAATTGCATGGTATTCTGTGTAACACTACGAAACATGTCGCGTGTTCTGCTGTAATCATCACAAGTATCTTCATTATAGAGGACATGAATGAGTCTGTAACAAATCAGAATGGTGCTTGGTGCCTTCCTCCCAAGCACATCCAGACAGACACCGCAATCCAGTGCACCAAGATCGCCGCCCACGCCGACCCAGATCTCCGGTACACAACAAGACATGCCGACCCAAGCACGACACAGCAGAGCAAAAACCCCGGGTGCGAAAATAACCGCAAAGCACCAGGCCTGCTCAACCACGCTAGAAAGGGATGCGCTAACACGTATAATGCTGTTGAAAGAATTCCATAAAACAATTTCGGATCCGCGAGCCAATCCGGAGAGAGCGGGAAGGAGTGCAGAAACGGGACGGAGGAGACGAAAGGAGAGAGGAGGGAGGAGGCGCGAGAGAGGAGGGAAGTGATGTGAGTGTGGAGCCAGGATGGGAGAGTAGACGGGGGTTCTGCAGGATGGGGGTTGAGGAGAACCCTCCAGAAAAGCTCCTCCCAGAAGGAGGGGAAGACGAAGACAAAGAGGACGAGGCGGATGGGGAATCCGGCTTGGGGGAGGTAGAAGGCGTCAGCCCAGGAGGCAAAGAGGTACATGAGAGGCGAGATGGCGATGATGGTGAGGAGAGTGAATCGCAGGTCGGAGAGGGTGGGGAGGGTTGTGAGCGCGCGGGATAGGCGGAGGAGGAGGAGGGAGAAGAGGGGGATAGGCGGGGTATGGTGGGGAGGGGAGGTGGAGCCATTGGTGGTGCCTGGGGGACGGGGGAAAGGAAGGGAGTGGGAAACGGGAAAAGGGGGAAGGGGGGAAGGAAAAGAAGACAAAGAAGAGGAGGGTTAGAAGGAAAGTTTCCAGCCAGGTTGGGGGAGGTAGAAGGCGTCAGCCCAGGAGGCAAAGAGGTACATGAGAGGCGAGATGGCGATGATGGTGAGGAGAGTGAATCGCAGGTCGGAGAGGGTGGGGAGGGTTGTGAGCGCGCGGGATAGGCGGAGGAGGAGGAGGGAGAAGAGGGGGATAGGCGCGGTAGGGTGGGGAGGGGAGGTGGAGCCATTGGTGGTGCCTGGGGGACGGGGGAAAGGAAGGGAGTGGGAAACGGGAAAAGGGGGAAGGGGGGAAGGAAAAGAAGACAAAGAAGAGGAGGGTTAGAAGGAAAGTTTCCAGCCAGGTTGGGGGAGGTAGAAGGCGTCAGCCCAGGAGGCGAAGAGGTACATGAGAGGCGAGATGGCGATGATGGTGAGGAGCGTGAATCGCAGGTCGGAGGGCGTGGGGAGGGTTGTGAGCGCGCGGGATAGGCGGAGGAGGAGGAGGGAGAGGAGGGGGGGAGGCGGGGTGGGGTGGGGAGGGGAGGTCGAGCCATTGGCGGTGCCTGAGGGAAGGGGAGAAGGGAGGGAGTGGGAAACGGGAACAAGGGGAAGGGGGAAATGAAAAGGAGAAAGAAGAAGAGGGTTAGAAGGTAGGTTCCAAGCTAACTATGGGAAGGTAGAAGGCGTCAGCCCAGGAGGCGAAGAGGTACATGAGAGGCGAGATGGCGATGATGGTGAGGAGCGTGAATCGCAGGTCGGAGGGCGTGGGGAGGGTTGTGAGGGCGCGGGATAGGCGGAGGAAGAGGAGGGAGAGGAGAGGTGGAGGCGGGGTGGGGTGGGGAGAGGAGGTCGAGGCGTTGGTGGTGCCTGAGGGAAAGGGGGAAAGGGGGGAATTGGGAAACGGGAAATAGGGGGAAGGTGAAATAGGAAGAGAATACAGAGGGTTGAATGCAGGTTTCCAACGGGCTACAATTGGGAGGTAGAAAGCATGGGCCCAGGAGGCAAAGAGGTACATGAGAGGCGAGATGGCGACAATGGTGAGGAGTGTGAATCGCAGGTCGGAGGGGGTGGGGAGGGTTGTGAGGGCGCGGGATAGGCGGAGGAGGAGGGAGAGGAGGAAGAGAGGTGGGGTGGGGTGGGGTGGGGAGGGGAGCTTGAGGCATTGGTGGTGCCTGGGGGAACGGGGGAAGGGGAGAATCGGGAAATGGGAAAAAGGGGAAGGGGACAGGGACACTGACAGAGGAGCTGTTAAGGCGAATAGAATAAGAGAGAGGAAGCGGTACTGACCGAAGCTGCTGCTGCTGTTATTAGCGCCGTTCGTTCGCCACGGGCGGGTTCAAAAATTCAGATGCCCGGGGGCAGGGCAACGTCTTGAACAACAGCCTGCCGGGCAGCCCAATCTATTCCACCTAGTCTTACAACGTCCCCCACTAGTACCCTCTTCCTGAGTTTCTTCAGCAGTGCTCGCACCACACACGGCAACTCAACTCCCTCCCTCTCCTCCTCCCTCCCCCGTCTCTCCTCCATTTCCTCCTCCCTCGCCTCCCTTCTCTCCGTACCCTCCTTCCCCTCTCCCCCATTCGCGCCGTCCCCTTGCCGCCTGTGCGCCTCCACTTGCTGCTCCACCTGTGCTCCCCTGCTTGCTGCCCGTGGCGCATTTCCTCGCCCATCTGCACAGATGGGGGTGGCATGGAGAGGTGGCAGAGAGGCAGGAGAAGGTAGTGTTGGTCAGTTCCGATGTTCATCGCAGGGTCTTCTGCCCCGCTGCGTCCCTTAGCGAATCTCCAACACCCATCTGCACAGATGCTGCAACAACTGCAATATGATTCTGCGTTGCTGCTGCTGCTGCTGCTGCAATTTTGCTGCTGCTGCTGCTTCCGCTGCAACTTGCTGCCTATAATGCTACTGCTATAGTACTGCTGATGTTGCTGCTGGTGCTGCCGCCG